CCCCGGGCTAGAGCTGGTGCCCCTGTCTGGCTGGATATGCCAGAGTTCAGCCTTGGGGGTGGCTTTGCTCTCTCTTGACACAGTTACCCCCAAACCCTGGCTTTGGGATGAGCCAAGTCCCACTGTTCCCAGGGAGGTTGGTCACTGCATTTCTTCTCCTTCTGCGGGTGTTTCTCAGCCCCTTGAGGAGGATGATTCCTGTGGTCTTGCACCTCCCAAACTGGGGGTCTCTGCTCAATAGGGAATGAAACCAGGGGTGAAACCTATCTAAAATGGGATCTGCAGGAGCTGGAGTGGCTCCAGTGTTGCCTTTTGGTGGAGGCACGGCTGCCTCTCCTCCCATTAATGCGCAGCTTTGATTTCCCAAGCAGCTCTTGGAGCCACTGGGGAACTGGCCCTGTGACTTTCTCTGTGAGAGCAGGGCATGGAGACAGCTGAGTAAATATAGCCTAAATCACTGCTTTCCTGGCCATTCCCCCGCCCTGCCAAGGGCCGGTGTGTCCCCAAGGCTGGATTGGCCTCTGCTCTAGTCATCCACCATGTGGGAAAGTCCAAGGCATGGTTTGGTTTCTTTGGCGACTCCCTTTGACGTGGGCAGATTGTGCTTCCATTTGGCCATGCGATTCATGGCGTGGACTCATTTCCCCTAAACTTGGTCCCCTGCCCCAAACCCCTCCGTTTTTAACTTGCTGGAACAAGGGTTTAGGCACACAGGAAAATCCTTTTCTGCCCACAGTTGGGTCTCGCTGGACAAAAGCTCTGGGTTTGGAAGGGAAAGTGCTGGAAATTCATCTGGAATGTGGCAAGGAGCAGAGTGGTTTGTCAGAGCCAGTTTGGAGCCATGTCAGAGCGCCGGGTGCTGGGGTGTGTTTACAATGAAAAAAGAGTATTTATAATATCGCAGGCTCTTTTAATTCCTCTGGGAATCTCTGGAGCTGTGGCTTGGAGCTGGAGCAGCCAAGTAATGGAAGATAAAAAGCAAACAGAGGAAGGGGACGGTGGGTTTCTCAAGCTGGAAGGTCTTGACTCTCTCACCAACACGCAAATAGTGCTGGTCTGCTAATGTGGGTACTTCTTACCTCTTGGTTACTTCATCTGATTGCTGAGCTGTGCAGGGCTGCTAATAAATCATATAAATTCCAAATACCCCGGGGAATGTGATTTTAAGCAGATAAGTTAGCGAGAACAGTTGGACTTTTTTTTTTTTTCATGTACTCAGGTTTTTTTTAGAACTGTAATTTTTGAGGGAAGGAGCCAAAATACAGCTCCTGGGTTTATGTATCCCTAAACCCAGCTTCATGAATGCTCTGAAAATGGAATTAAGTGTGTTCTTGCAGCCTGGGAGGTGGGGTAATGGCAGCCTGGAGTGAGGTGGTGGGGCTGGTGTAGGGCACTGGGTCCTTCTCTGCTCGCTGCTGGCATATAGAAGTCTCTGACCAAATAAAAAACTCTTGCAGGGAAGAGGAGAAAGTTTCTGAGATGGTTAAGAGAGGACGCGCTTCAGCTCAGCAAAAAAGTTGGATGTCAGAAGCCTCTGGACGGTATGAGAAGTTTTGGAGTAGGTGTGCACAATACCTGAGGTGCTTCAGCCTTTGAGGAGGTCACTGGGACCTCCAGGTGTCTCCCAAAAGTGAGAAGGGTATCAGTCATCCCAAGGCAGGTATTTACCCAGCTCCTCGGATCCCTGCTAACTATGACATTGACCTTTTCCGTGAAATGTTCCAGATATTCCTTCACTTCCTTGGGCTTTGGTGTGAACAAAGCAAAATACTTAATGAAACTCAAGCGTGAGGAGTAAATGCTCTGTGTCCCTGGGAAAGGGCAGCTCGTGGCCATGGGCAGGAGCTGCCCTGGCTGTGTAAATCAGGAGGATGTGGTGCAGCAGCAGATGTCACGATAGCAGGCAATTCCCTGTCCATTTTTATCTTTGTGTCATCCTATTTTCTCTTTTTATTAAAAGAAAAGTTTGTTCTCATTGTCTGCAACGTGCAGTTCAAAACCTGATTTGCTGTTTGTTTTGCTCGCTGAGGATCTGATGTAACTTGGAGAGGTTTTGGGCTGTGTAGATTGGTGTAGGCATCTTCTTCTTTTAAATATTTTTAGGCATTCTTTCCCCTCACTGGAGGGAAAGCAACACTCAATCTTATTTCAAGTCAAGCTGCACTTTGAGCGGCATTTGGAACTGGGTGAAAAAGCACAGGAACCACATTTAAAACGTTAAGATGCTTTTATTTATGCGCTGGGCGCACACAAAAAGACTTGTAATGTGTTTTTTGTTTCAAACCGATGCATTAAACAAAGAAAGTATTGACAGCAGTTAATGAATCGGGGGATTGTTTCTGGGTGCTGAGATAGATTTACCAAAGGTATTTAGCTGTCTGATGCATGGGATTTGCAGAGCAGCCTTAAGCAAGTGCTTGCCAGCACAGACACATGAGGTTCTTCTCCGAGATCCGAGCAAACCTGGAGCTGGGCCCAGCCGAAATCTTTTGGCAGGCTGGTCCCTCTCCCCTGCTCGGAGGTGTGCTTCCAGCCGACAGGCTCGTGCGTGTCCCAGGCTCTTGGCCCTACCTTCCCTGCAAAGAGCTGTTCCAGAGCTTTGGGAAGTGTGTTCATGATCCACAGAGACACGCAGACTCGGTCAGCTGCACTCCGAGGGTGCAGAGCTTTCCTGGCCATTGGCTTGGCCAAGGAAGCCACTCGCTAGGTCTGTGGCAGGACAGAGGGCAACTGTTCCCCCTGGAGGGGACGGCAGTGGATTAACCATGTGGATTTGGATTTCCAGGGGGGCTCCTCGCAGAGCACTTGATGCCCACGTGGTCTGAGCGTGGGGAAGGCAGGTGAGACTGCTCCAGGACCAACCTGGCTTTAAGTCCTCTGGATTGTTGCATGTGCCCAGTGACCCTCTGGGCCATGGAGAGCAGAGTGGCACAGAACTACCTCTGCGTTTCCACCCCAGGGAACAAGGCTGTGACAGGAGTTGGTTGGAAGAAGCTGCGGGACCTGCTCCGTGGACACACTCGGTGCTCCCGAGTCACTCTTCTCTTCCCACCCCTCCACGCAGATCTGCTTTTAAAAGCTACTGAACGAGTTTGCCAGGGCTGAGCCAGGGCTGAGCGTTCTGTCCTTCCAGCCTCTTCGACTGCACCGGCTTGTCAGAGGCGCCAGGAGTCAGGGCTGGGATCTGCGGGCAGGAGCTTGGGGGGTGCCTGCGGGGGAGCATCAACCCAGCTGGGTTTGGGCTCTGCTGCCTCTGGGTGCCTTCTGGTGTCTGTCCTCTCTGGGAGGAGCAGGAGCTGCCGGCACCGTTCCCGCCCAAACCCTTGGCACTCAGACAGTGCCTGTGGTGCTGTGACTCCTAGACAGGCAGCGTTCAGAGGGGCAGCCAGTGAGCCTGGCCATAAATCTCTCTTTATGCTCTGGATTATGAAGTAATATTTTCCTGGCTGGGGCTTGGTTGGACTGGGGAAATGCAGGCTCTGCTGCAGCTGAATCCCAGCATGGTGGCAGCTCTCATGGCAGCCATACTGGGATGTGCTGCTTCCCCTAGGAACACAAGAGACCTCCCCAGGAGCTCTCCATGAGACTTGCAGCCTGGTGTTGCTCCTGGAGCTCTGAAGAAGCTCTCCGGCAACCTGGGTCAGGCTTAATTCTGTTCCCCACCCACCTCTGGCTGCAAGTACCTCACCTCCCTGCAGGCAGCGCCTGTTCATTCATGGCAAAGACAGCCTGGCTGGGACTCCTGCCCGAGCTCAAGCAGGCGGTGCAGGCTCTGGCTGCTTCACAGGTTTCCTGTGCCATGGCCTTTTTGTGCCTTTTGTCCTTGCCAAGGGAAGGAGCCCTCAGCGTGGTGCCAGGCTGGAGAGCCTGGCTGTGGAGAGGTGGAGCTGGCTCCTCTCAGGGGACTTACCCCGATCTTCAGACTTTGTGGCAGCACGTGCAGGGGTTGGTGGCACGTGCAGGTGTGTTGGCACGTGCGGGGTGACACCCCACACAGCAGGGAAGAAGGCTTTGTAGCTCATATGAACTGTAACGTACTGCTGGCCCGGAAGGGTTATTTTGAAATCCTGCAGATCACCACTGTTGGTGTCTCTCAGCCGAGTCTAACCCACGGTCAGAGCAGCCTTAGCTTTGTGCCACGCTTGGTTGTGCACTGACCCCGCTGGGAAGGGTGTCCTGGCTCCCTTTGCCTCCTCCCCTCCCTCTCTGCCCAGGCTCCTGCAGCTCTGAGAAAAGCCTTCCTGCTCACTAATACTTTTCAGATGAGACTCAAGAGTTTTGAGCTGGGTTTGGTGGTTTCTGGGCCAAAGCAGCTTCAAGCTGTTAGTAGGACCTGCAGTGTTTCAGCGGGCCCAGTGTGTCCCTGGGAAGGCTGATTTCTGGCTGCCCGGGTGCCTTGTGCAAATCCCGGAATGCTGGAATTTGCCTGGGGGAGGTGGAAAACTGGCCTGTGCAGCCAGGAAGGGATGGGAAAAGAGGACGTGCCTGGCTGGTGGGAATGCCCCAGCTCGTACATCTCTTCAGTAACATGTTATAACCCAGGTTTATTCTTTTTGGTGGATTTCTGGGCACGGCAGGCAGCATATTCAATTTCTCTCTGAATAGCTGAAGGGCAGTTAGGAGATCTAAGTAGACTTGAAGGCTTCTAAAGATTATTTTAACTCCTCTCGCCTCCATCCCTGCAAAAGGAACCCGTGCCTGCACTTGATGCTGTTGGTGCTTTTGAAAAGTTCAAAAATTGACTTTTAGCTCAGAGCAAAGCTTTGAAGTGCTGTTCTGTGGAAATGGCAGCACCTCTCGAAAGCCTTTTGCTGAAAGCTTGGGTAACCTACATTTGCGGGCAGCTGCCTTCAGAAGATGCCTTTGTGGGGGATTTTGTGGTGAGATATAAAGGTGAACTGTGAAATTAAATGGATTTTACAAGGAAAGGTTAAATCTGTTTGTTCTGCTCCTATTCAGGGCCTGCAGCTGGTGAGTGCAGGGTCGTCCTTTTCTGTATGTGAAAGTTATCCTGCATAAAGGCTGTTTTGTCTCACTCGTTGTCTCCTTGTTTGCATAAGTGCTTCGAGGAGGGTAAGCTGAAGAAGCAGGAGTGAACCTCTTTAAGATGCAGAGCTGGTGCCTGGCTGTAGCAGAGAGGAGGTGGCATTCCTGCCTGCAGCCACTGGCTCCTCTGTTGCTTTGGGGAGTGGAAATCAGGATTAGCATGTCCTGGTTGGATTCAAGGCTCAGCATCAGCTGGTAGGTAGGAGAGAAATGAGTCCTGCCTCTCTCAGGTGAACCTCTAGTTTGAATGTTGGTGTATCAGGAGGGTGTGGGGTGCCTGGCTGTGCAGTGACAAGTCTTCTTCTCTTTGCAGGCACTGGGAAAGGGGACGTAGCACGACACACTGTTCTGGACTGGAAGCCTCCCAGACTCCAAGAAACCCGCTTCTTTTTTGGTGAAACAGACCCTGACCTCGGGTTTCCTTACTGCATGCCCGCTCACCAGTGCTGGATTATGTTTGTCTCCTTCTCCCTTTGCTCCATAATCTGGCTGAATCGTGGTTTCAAGCTCAGGAAAAGGGGCTGCACCTAAAGAGCTCTGGGGCACCCAGACTAGGCTCCTGGGGTGCTGTTTCACACAGAGACATTCAGAGTGCTGATGGGGGAGAGCTGCCTCTGAGGACCCTCCTCTCCTGCCTGAAACGTGCTGTCTGACTGTTCAGAGCCCTTCTCCTCTCCCCCCAGCAGAGAGGATGGGCAGCACCGACGGCTTCCAGTACCGCGCGCTCTACCCCTACCGCAAGGAGCGCGAGGAGGATATCGACCTGCTGCCCGGGGACATCCTGGTCGTCAGCAAGGGGGCCCTGCAGTCCCTGGGTTTCAAAGACGGGGATGAGCAGACCCCCAACCAGATCGGGTGGATCCTGGGTGTCAACGAGCGGACCAAGCAGAAGGGGGACTTCCCTGGCACCTACGTGGAGTATGTGGGGCCGGTGAAGATCTCGGTCCCTTCTCACCGGCCCCGAGTGCAGAGACCCTTGCCTGCCACGCCTGGGGCCAGCGGCTGCCGGCTGCCGGAGGCTGTGGAGCAAGGTAAGCCCTGCTGTGTGCTGTGTTGGCTCCAGGACAACTCCATTCCTGATGCGTGACAGAGGAGAGTGTGTGAGTGGCTTTGCAGGACAGCATTGGCTCAGCAGCTGCACAGTTGAGTTGTCTGGGGGTTGTGGGCTCAGGCTCAGTCCTAGCCCAGAGAAAAGCATGTTGTTCCTCCTCAACTTGCTCAGCAGAGCTTCTTGGAGCAAGCCTTGTCCTGCTCATACCTCTGCAAGATCCTTCTCCCTCTCTGTCCTGCAACTGCCCAGGATCCCTGTGGCCCTTGGTCCCTGCTCTACTCAGTCCCTGCTCTACTCAGTTCGGCCCTGCTCCCTCCCAGGGTCAGGGCTGGGAGAGCCCTGACCTCTCCCAGCCACCAGCTCCCCGCCTCTGCAGCGCCTGGGGCAGTGCTCCCTGCCAAGAGCTGCTCAGCCCTGCTGAGAGACACAATTACTTGTCTCTGGGCAAGAGGAGAAAAGTCAGGGTCTAAAAGAGCACTTCTGAGAACTGGAGCTAATTGCTTGTCTGCCTGGCAGCCAGCCCTCCCTGTGGGTCGCAGGACCCTCTCTGGGGCTGGGCAGCCACCCTGGGGCTGGGCATAGGCTGTCCTGCACCTGCAGCTGCCTCCCAGCTGGCACTGGGCTTGGCACAGATCTGGTCCAGGAGGGCCAATGTACCTCAGCCCTGCTTGTGGAGCTGTGGCAGCTGCCTGCCCTTTGCCTGTGTTTTTTTCTTCCCAGGCACATAAACCCCATCGCAGGGGTTCAGCGACCCCTGGGTTCCCCTCATCTACTCTACCCTTGTGAGACTCCACCTGGATTACTCCCTCCAGGTCTGGGGTCCTCAGCACAGGAGAGATGTGGCCTTGTTGGAGTTAGTCCAGAGGAGGCCATGAAGATGCTCCGAGGGCTGGAGCACCTCTGCCATGGAGACAGGCTGGGAGAGCTGGGAGTGTTCAGCCTGCAGAAGAGAAGGCTCTGGAGAAACCTTATTGTGGCCTTCCAGTACTTAAAAGGAAAAAAGAAGAAGAGAGACTTCTTATACAGGCACATACTGATAGGACAAGGGGGAGGTTTTAAATTATAAGAGGAGAGATTTAGATTAGAAGTTAGGAAGAAGTTCTTGACTCTGAGGGTGGCACAGGTTGCCCAGAGAAGCTGTGGCTGCCTCATCCCTGGAAGTGTCCATAGCCGGGTTGAACAGGGCTTGGAACAACCTGGGATAATGGAAGGTGTCCCTGCCCATGGCAGGGGGTGGAACAAGATGGACTTTAAGGTCCCTTCCAAATGAGGAGTGACAGCCAGACTTTGCCTTCCCATGCCTTGCAGAAGATCTTGTGCAGGTGCACACAGGAGGACTGGGGGCAGCAGAAGGGAGCTGGTGGGTGTCACAGCATGTTCTCAGTCCTGCATCCCCCCTGTCCCTCTTTGCCTGGGAGTCACAACTATCCATCACATGCTTCTAGCTGTGTGAAACACCTCTGGGGTCTTACAAAACCAGGGTGGTGGGGCTGGTGCAGCTGCCTGTAGCTGCCTCACTTGCTCCTGCTGCCAGAGCCGGAGGGGTGGCCCCAGGAAACATCTCTGGAGGGTGGGAATGGTGCTGGGCCGTGTGAGCGTTTGGGTTGTCAGGGAGAGCCCTGATCTGAGTCATTCCGCTCACGACCTGCCTTTCCAAGAAAGCAGCTCCTCTTGGAAGCCTGGGATAGGCGCTCTGCTGGATGTGCCAGCCTTGCCTGTGTCCAGCCCTGTGCTCCTTCAGGGGCTGTCACTGTCGGCTCTCTCCTCCTCTTCTCAAGGAGGGCTCGGTGGAGGTGTGTCTGGGTGGTCGGAGCTGCTGGTATAATCTCTGGGGTGTGGAACAAGATATGTTCCAAAACTCCTGACACATAGAAAAGGTGCAGTTGGAAAAGAAAATAAAAGCCAGCCTGTCTGTGGGGAGGGAGGATGGGGTACCAGGGCGCATGAGGAGGGTGCCGACCCTGTCCCTCTCCCCTGTGGGTGCATCCCCATAGCCAGCCTCCTCTCTGGGCACAGCCAGGGCCTGCAGGGAGGCACTTCAGACACCCAGGACCATGTTACACTCAGCCTGTGTGTTGATATGGGCCGTTCACTTAAGAGCTGGACTCGACAATCCTCGTGGGTCCCTTCCAGCTCAGAATAGTCTGTATTTCTGTATTCAGTGTTCTGCTGGGGAGACGCATTTTTGCATCGGAGAAACTGCATTTGAGCCAAGCCTGTGTTGTTTCTTCACAGGCCGCATTTTGGGAGATGCAGAGCCGTCTCCTGGCTGCCCCACGGAGCTCATGCCATGCTTCCCGGGTCCTGCCCCAGCTGGCCAGGCTCCCTGAGCCCCGCAGTGTCACTGGAGGAGCAGGGCCAGCACCACACTCTGTCACGCAGCCCCCGGGAGCTGGGCTGGCCCTGCTGAACAGCGAGAGCCAGCGCATTGTGCCAGTGGATTTACGAGCTGCTGGTGTTTGCCTTCCGCAGAGAACATGGGCGGAAAATGCGGCTCGGAAATATTTCTGCAGCTGCCCGGGCCGAGCTGGGAGCAGTGCTGAGAGCAGCCTTGTTCATGGCAGCCCAGCCCGGAGGCCCGGCAGGCTCAGGAGTCGCTGCTGGCTCCAGCACAGGCTGCCTGATAAAAAAAGGACAAGCTGCTCCCTGCTGAAGCAGCGCATTCCCAACCGGGCCACGTGGGCAGCACCAGCATTTACTCTCCCTTCAGCCCTTCCCAAGGGTCAGACTGGGAGCTGCCAGCCTGGCAGCTTGCCTGCTGCTTCCCCACCCTGACCAGCACCACACTGGGCCCCTTCCTCTGCCCAGGGGCTCGTTCTGGTGGGAGATTGGCCCCCTCCCTGCCACCCTCCAGCAGAGCTGCTGGGTGCCCACCCCATGTGCTTCCCTATCCATGGGTGCTCTGTCTCCCCACGAGGCTGTGGGTGCAGGAGGCTCAGCCGGGTGTGGAGTCTCAGCTTGCTGCGCCTCGTGGTGAGACCACACCAGGCGAGTTCGGGTCAGATCCATGACAACGGAGCTGTTTCGCAACCTTTTGGCTCTGCCTCTGCAGAGTGGAGTGTGCTGGGTGTCCTCACCCACTGTGGGCTACCCAAGGGCTGCCTGGTGCTGTGGACCAGCCTGGAGGAGCCTCCTGCACCGACTGGTGCTCAGTTGGAACCAGGATGGCACCGCTCATCCCTCGGCAAACCTCCTGCTGACAGCAGCCTGGCCAGGCCTGCGTGCTCCTGCCCCGGCATGCACAGGGGGAGGGGGTGCCTGGAGCCAGAGTCTCAAGATCTGCTGGAAGTGGCAGTGAAATACCACCCGCCAAGGGGCTAAGGATCCCCCAGGAATGGGGGGGACCCTAGTTCTGTGCCGCAGGCTATCTGTCTGTCTGTACCCTGTAGCAGCCTGCAGGAGGCTGTGGGCTCACGGGGAGGGGGAGACACAGGGCCGGTTTCCATGTTAAACGAGCAATCAAAGGCAGGAATTTGCTGACATGGCATTCTGTCTGAATCTCTGGATTAATCACAGCTCACCACGGCGAGCGAGCTCCCTGGGCCTGCTCCACTGCCAGCCCTGCACAGCCCCTGTGCTGGGCAGGGACCCAGCCCAGCCCGAGCTCCAGGAGCCCTGGTAACCCCTGCGCTGCCTGCCTGGGGGCTGGGGGTCTCCAAGCCTCTGCAGAGAGAAGTAGGATCTCTTGTGCACACCCAATGAGGGGTTGGAGCAAAGCTGGGCTCAACAAGTGCTGCGCTGGTTTCTGGGCCAGCTTACAGGTTCCTTGCAGCCTCTGCGCTGCGTTTGCCTGGGCCACAGCTTTCCTGGCTCCTGTTGGAGGCTGCGTTGGTTGTGCCCTGCTCTGCTGCTGGTGGCTGAGCTGGCAGTGAGCCCTTCTGTCCCTCCCTCTCCCACAGGGTCTCCTCTTCTGGACTTGCAGGAGCAGTTCAGCCCTCCCGAGATTGCTCCGCCGCTCCTGGTGAAGCTGCTGGAAGCTATTGAGAAGAAAGGTAAGGGGTAATGCTGAGCACTGGGGAAGGCTCATAGATCCCAAAATCCCGCAGTGAGGGCAGAGGGGAAGGCTGATAGATCCCAAAATCCAGCAGTGAGGGCACAGGGGTAGACTGATATATCCCAAAATCCCACAGTGAGGGCAGAGGGGGAGGCTGAGCTCTGTGGGACACACAGGACTCAGCTGCCCTCACACTCCTCCCTGGATTGATCTGCTGTTGCCCAGTGCATGGCTTGACCCCACTGTGCCATCCTGCACAGAGGCCTGGGGTGAGGGTGCTGGGTCTGAGCACCTACACGCCGTGGATGGGTGCTGGGGTTTGGGAAGTGCTTCCAGCCTGGATCTGTGCCAGAAAGGGGAAGAAAGGTGGAGAAAGGGGGCCACTGAACTGGGTGTCCTGGGGGCCAAGGGGGCTGCAGCAGCATCTGCAGGGAGTTGGCTTGGACACTGTCCAGGCGTGGTTGGCTGTGCCACAGCCATTGCCCGGCTGGCACTGGGAGCTGACAGCAGTGTCCCCCTTCCAGGGTTAGACAGCGAGATGTTGTACAGGACATCTGGCTCCGAACTGAGGCAGGCGCTGAGAACCGGTAAGAACCAGCTCTGCGCGGTGGAGGCGAATCAACTCAGATGGAGGAGATTAGTGGATGTGACAGCGCCAGCAGTAATGCAATCCAGGCCAGGCTGCCTGTCCTCGGCAGTTCCTGACTCCTGGCACGCTGCCTGTGGGGCTGGGCTGTCCCCGTCCCAACACGTCCCTGCCTCGTGTGGAAGGGATGGGAGAGGGGGGATTCCTGACACCCTCCATGGGCTGGAGCAAAGAGATGTGGTGCCAGCTTGGAGACTCACAGGCAAACAAATGAACCCCTGTGCTTGCCTTCTGCTCTCTTTGGGTGCTCTGCTGATGAGCTGGCAGAGGCTTCTCTAGCTCTGTCACATAACTAATAACCAGAGGAGGATCTTTCATAGCTTGGTGGCTCTGTGGTGCCAGAGCTGATGTCTTTGCCGGGGAGCCTTCAGAGCTCTCTGCCTCTTGGCTTGGGCCTCATCTAGCACCACATTGGCATATCCCCTTCCACAGACATTCCTGCAAACCCCAACCACACAGTGCTGTCAGCCCTGGCTGTGCTGCTCTTGGGACAGGCTTTATGTGCTTCCCAAAATCCTGCGCCCTGCGTTCGAGGGAGATGTTATCCCCACTGGGTTCAGTATGTGGCTGCTCAGTCTTTGCTTGGCTCTGCCAGCAGTGGGAAGCAAAATTCTCACCCAAGCCTTGCATGCCCAGGATTCTTGTGGCAAGATTCCTGTGTGGGCACCCAAAATGACCTCTGCCCTTTCCCAAGGGGAACTGCTGGGGTTCCCAGAGCCAGCTTGTTTCTGGGGTGTACAGGGAACTTCCAGGAATCCTCGGTCACATGGGCTGCCTGAGGGCTGCCTGAGCTCCCTCGTGGTGCTGTGTCCCGTGGTAGCTGGCTGGGAGGTGTGGGATGGTCTCAGGATGGATGCTGATAGCACTGAAGCTGCTGGCTGGGTGTCCAGTGCTGTGCCCACCACCCATGGGAAATCTGTGCCCTGGCAGATTGGACCCTGGGTGACCTGGAGCCCCTGGACGTGCACTCCCTGGGTGAGGTGCTGCGGGGTTATCTGCAGGACCTGCCCTCCCCCGTGGTGCCTGTGTCCGTGCATGGAGACATCCTTCGCATCCTGCAGGGTAAGGGCCTCCCTGTCTGCCTTGGGAATGGGATGGACGCGTTTGGGGGATTAAAATAAGCCCTGTCCCTATGAGCCTGGCACATGGCCCCTGCTGCTGACAGCACTCCCACGCTGTGACGCATTGGAGCAGAGAGCAGTGCTGGCTATCCCAGCTCTTCTATCGTGTCTTGTTCTCTGCCCAGAGATCCCCCAGCCAGAGAATTGCCGGAAGCAGCTGCTGCTGGCCCTGGAGTCGCCTGCGGTACCGCTCCAGAACACGCTCACCCTGCAGTTCCTGCTCCGGCATCTGGGGAAGGTATCACAGCGGGCCGAGAGCAACGGCCTCCACCCTCGGGCCCTGGGAGAGATCTTCGGCCCCCTGCTCCTGCGGCTGCCTGGCGCCAGGTACGTGAGGCCCTTGGTTCCAGCAGTGTTCCCAGCACTGACCACTGCCTGCCAGGACGAGGAGTCCGGCCTGGAACAGCAGGTCTGCCTGCAGCCCCTGCCTGTGGGATTAAACTGCTGGCAGCACACAGGGGTGGGACTCAAAGCCAGAACAGAGCCCGTGCTTTTGTGTCAGCCTGGGATCTGGCAGCTGGGGTGAACCAGCTGACCCCAGCTGCCCCTTTGCCCAGGGCTCACAGGAGCAGTGCCACTGCTGTTCTCCCCCACAACTGCTGTTCTTAACTTGTCTGCTCTTTCCCTGCAGCCCAGAGCTGAGCCCTGACTTCTCCGTGCTGTTTTTGGAGACACTCCTGCAGACGAAGGAGCTGGAACCGGAACAGTTGCCTCCAGGTACTGAGATGCCCCTTCCTTGTGGCCTGAGGCGCTGGTGTTTATGCTCCGTGGGTGTGGAGTCTCTGCCCCCACGAATGGGTTGCTGAGGGTGTTTCGGTAGCCCAGCTGTGCCTGGAGGCTGGCCCAAGGTACAGATGTGCCTGGAGTAGCTCCTGGTAGCATGGCAGCCAAGGGGGCTTTCCAGGCCAGTCACTGCAGGGAGGGGGACTCAGCACTCCAAGGGATTGCCTGTGGGGAGCTAGGATTTGGGCTCACCCAGTTTCAACCTTCCTTCTCTTGCAGCCTTGCCTCCCAAACCACCGAAGCCAAAGCCCAGCGCAGCCAGCCTGGCCAACGGGAACAGCACACCCTTGCAGGATGCTGAGTGGTACTGGGGGGACATTTCTAGGTAAGGGGGTGACTGGCAGCTCGTGCCTGGGGTGCCCTGTCCATTGAGGCATTTAGGGGAGCCTGTCACAGGCCGTGACAATCCCGTTCCTTGCAGGGAGGAGGTGAACGAGAAGCTACGGGACACACCGGATGGGACTTTCTTGGTGCGTGATGCTTCCAGCAAGATCCAGGGGGAATACACACTCACGCTCAGGTAGGGCACTGGGATCCTCTGCCACTCTGGGATGCAGCTGTGGGTCTGAGTTCCTGTGCTTCCAGCTGCTGGGATGCCAAGAGCACCTGCTGTAGGGTGCTGGGGTGGTGGTAAGTGCCCTCTCCTCTCCCCTCCCCACTACAGGAAGGGAGGCAATAACAAGCTGATCAAGATCTTCCACCGGGAAGGGAAGTATGGCTTCTCAGAGCCCTTGACTTTTGGCTCCGTGGTGGAGCTCATCACCCACTACCGGCACGAATCGCTCGCCCAGTACAATGCCAAGCTGGACACCAGGCTGCTCTACCCCATTTCCAAGTACCAGCAGGTGAGCCCTGGGCCTCAGGTGCACGATGGCCAACACAGCCTGAACCAGTGGCACTTGCTCCTCCATCCCTGCTCCTTTGGGAGATGACAATGTCCCACCCCTTCCCCCCATGCCGGGACGTTGCATTGTGGGGTGACAGACGTGCGGGGCTGGTGGGGTTTCATGGGACCAGCTGGAGCAGGTCCTGAGTGAGGCTGTGCCTATGGCAGGACCAGCTGGTGAAGGAGGACAGTGTGGAAGCCGTTGGGGAGCAACTGAAGGTGTATCATCAGCAGTACCAGGACAAGAGCTGGGAGTACGACCTGCTGTATGAGGAGTACACACGCACTTCCCAGGTACGTGGGCACTGCCTTCCCCAGGGACTGCCCTCGCACCCCTTGAGTGCTGGCAGCTGCCACGCTGTGCAGACGGGAGGGCAGAGACTGGGGACCCGCTGCCCTCTTTGTCTGCTGCTGGACTTGAGGGGGCTCCCCAGAGGATGGGTTTGAAGTGGGGGTTATTTTAGCTGCAGCAAGGACAGTGCTGCTTTGGGGAGGGAGGAAGAGAGGATGAGAATGGGCAGAAATGTTCCTCAGCTTTCCCTTCCCTTCTCCCCAGGAGCTGCAGATGAAGAGGACGGCAATCGAGGCCTTCAATGAGACGATCAAGATCTTTGAGGAGCAGTGTCAGACCCAGGAGAAGTGCAGCAAGGAGTACATAGAGCGCTTCCGGCGGGAGGGCAACGAGAAGGAGGTGCAACGGTGAGGATGGGGGAGATGGAGACCTGCCCTGCCTGGGGAAGGGCTCCAGGAGCTGGAAGGATCCTCCTGGCCCAGCACAGAGCCGAGGCATGCACAATCCTTGTCTCTCAGCAGTGTGCTGTGGGCTGGAGCTGGCAAGCAGCCTCCTCTGCCTCCCCCACTCCGGCTTACAGCCCCCCTCTTTCTCCCAGGATCCTCATGAACTCGGAGAAGCTCAAGTCTCGCATCACAGAGATCCACGACAGCAAGATGAAGCTGGAGCAGGACCTGAAGAAGCAAGCCTCGGAGAACCGGGAGATCGACAAGCGCATGAACAGCCTCAAGCCAGACCTCATGCAGCTGCGCAAACTGCGGGACCAGTACTTGGTGTACGTAGCTCCCCTCCAGCATGGCCCGGGAGCAATCCAGCTGGCTCTTCGAGGGCTTTGGGGCTCGTTGGACCAGCTCAGAGCCTGTTTGGTGCGGGAGTGAACTCTGCAGCACAGCCACGGGGCTCGGCGGGCCCTTAGAGGGGCGGCTGCTGCCCTCTGGTGATGGCCGTGCCCTGGAGCCCTGGCCTGGGCTGAGCTCTGCCTTTCCTCCCCCAGATGGCTCACGCAGAAGGGTGCCCGACAGAAGAAGATCAACGAGTGGCTGGGCATCAAGAACGAGACGGAGGAGTGAGTGTCCCTGTCCCTGCTCGTGTGGGAGTGCAGGTTCTGCCTGCACCGAGGCCGTGGGCACCTCCCAGCTCCCTGCATGGGAGCTGAGGAGTCTTCCCTGCCAGAATGGGTGGTGGCAGCAGCAGTGTGGGGGAGAGCTGGGTGCCCAAATTGAGGGAGTCTGACCCTGCCTGTGATCCATTGCAGCCAGTACTCCATGATGGACGACGAGGAGGAGCTGCCCCACCACGAGGAGCGAACGTGGTACGTGGGGAAGATCAACCGCGTGCAGGCAGAGGAGATGCTGTGTGGCAAGAGGGATGGCACCTTCCTGATCCGTGAAAGCAGCCAGAAGGGATGCTATGCCTGCTCTGTGGTGTGAGTATCCCTGTGCAGATGTGGAATGGGGCTGGTGAGGGCTGTGTTCCCACACGGTTCCACCCTTCCCTCGCCAGATGCTGGAGGTGTCAGCTGGGCTTTCCCAAAGTCTCCCCTCTGCCTTGGCTCCTCCTGCCAGGGCCAGGTGTATCTCTGGGCTGCTTTGGCGGCCCCTGCTCATGCCCTGCTGTCCCTGTCCCACTGCTGACCCAGGCTCTTTGTCTCCCTGACAGGGTGGACGGTGACACCAAGCACTGCGTGATCTACAAGACGGCGACGGGCTATGGGTTCGCTGAACCCTACAACCTCTATGCCTCCCTCAAGGACCTGGTCTTGCACTACAAGCACACGTCCCTGGTGCAGCACAATGACTCCCTGAATGTCACGCTGGCTCACCCGGTCCTTTCCCAGCCACCAGCCAGATGAGCAGCCCATGCACAACACAACAGCTGCCTTCAGCTTCTCCCCAGGGCGCTGCTTTCTGGCTCTGGACTCTTGCACCCTGTATAGTTGAGTCTCTGTGCTCCTGCTCCTTCAGAGCCTTTGAGATGTCTGTGACTGTTCCTGATGTCCCTCTTGGTCAGTAGCTGAAACCCATGTTGGCTGATGGGACAGAAAGGCTGGGCTGTTGATTCCCAGCGGGCTCCAGCCTCTAGGAGGTGGGATCCAGTCGTGATTGAATTGCTGGGGGCGAGCACAGCCCCCTCCCCTTCCCTGATAAGCAGGTCAGATCCCCTTCTTGCTGGCAGGTTGCCCCGCTATGCATCACTGTAGAGCTTGGTTCCCAATTCCTCGGAGCACTCCAGCTGGGACCGAGGGGCTCCCTGTCTGGATGCTGGAGGAGGCAGAGGAGCAGCGTATGCATCCTTCAGTCTCGCTTCCCTTGGTGGTCTGGCAGGCTGTGATGGTGTCTGGTACGAGGGCTGCTGCTCTTGCATGCAGAGACTCATTTAGGAAGGAGAAACCTCACCCTCCGTGGGGCTCCCCGGCTGAGGTTTCCCCACCTCACCGTCATTCCCTAGTGTCATAACCACCTCTGGACTGTTGCTGCCCGGGCAGGGAGGATCCAGTTAGTGATGGATCTCTTGCTTTAGTTGTGCCAGTGAAGCTGTGAAATCCGTGTTGGTACCCGTGTTTTTCCTGGCAGGATCTGTGGGATGCACAGCTCGTTGTTCCCGGCTGGCCTCAGTGACTCTCTGCACACGTAACCTGTTTGAAGCTGGACTATAGCTCTGTAAATATGGTTCTTTTTGTGAGCTTCCCTGGTGCTGGTGTTTGCTGAGCCCCCACTGCCACCCCCAGCGTGGGCAGCAGCTGCCAGGCTGCCCTGGGCCCTGCAGCTCGAGCAGGAGAGGGCTGGAGTCCAACGCACACTACGAGCCCTACATGGAATGAAGGACCTCTCTGCTGCAGGAGGACAGATCTGCTGGGCCCAGGGCACGCTGAAATGTATCTGCATGATGGTGAACTACGTATGCAAAGCACTTAGAATCATGGGTACTGTATGGGGTCCGGGGCAGGGCTGCCCACTGTGGGCAGGGCATTGTGTCAGAGTTCAGAGGGCCCAAGGGCAGCCAAGGTGGCTCTGGAAGAGCTTTAAAAGCTGAGCTGAGAGTTGAGGCTGTGGTGGCATTTGCTTCCCTGGGTTCTCATCTGCTTGGCTTGAGGAAAGCATTCTTGGTCTTGATTTGCGGGAGAGGCTTGTTCCCTTTTGGAGGCTGCATCCCAGGGATGGGGTTTTGCTGCTTCTGTTTCCTGTGGCAGCTCGGGCTCTGCTGGCTTCACGGAGTGCTGTGTGCTTGTGCTCTGCCTGCAGCCTGTCCTTGATGTGCCACCTGCATTGAGGACCATGCTGTCTCTCCTTCCCCAGCCAGCTCTGTTGCTCCTCGCCTTGCCCTGGGCTGGTCCCCAGATCCTTTTGGAGCTGGGATTGCTGGCGCAATCGTCCTCTTCCCATTGCTTGTGGCAGTTCTCCTGTGCTCGATTGTACAGCCCCTGTTCCCTGCTCTGCATGTCCTCTCTGGGCCCTGGCTTTTGAGTCTGGTTTGTTGGTGTTTGATGCTGTGGTGCAGGTGACAGGTCAGGGGAGCTGTGGGTGCAGTGGCTGGCTTCAGAGATCACTTGGGAAATGCTGCCAGGGATAATTAAGGGAATTCTTTGGGCTTGGGCGCATGAGAGATGAGAGCGTGTGGGAACGGGGCAGGAAGGCTCCATCCTCATAGTGCTCTCCAGTGACCTACTGGAGTCTGTGGAATGGCTGGGTGGGCTGCACCAACACCCCAAAGCTCTGTCAGTCTCCCACACTGGTCACCGTGGCACATTTTCAGCCTGGGGACTCTGTGCTGGTCCTGTGCTTGTCCCTGCACTTCCATCATGTCCCTGTGCCACGGGATGGGCTGCAGGTGATGGGATCCTCAGCCTCTCACCCCATGGACTCCACGTTCCCCCACCACCCCACAAGGTGAGCTCAGGGCCAGTCCTGCCAAGAGGAGTTGCTCCCAGCTCATGCCAGGACTTGCTGAGCATCTGGAAGAGTCTCAGCTTCAAGCTGTCACCTGTCAACACTTCGCTTGCTGCTCGTCCGCTCTGCTGCCCAGGGAAATTTACCCTGTTTTTGTATCCTTTGGGCTGAATTTCTGCAGTTCTCCCCGTGCTGTCCCTTTCTGCTGCACAGCCGCAGACCCTTCCTCCCCAGGAGCAGGGGGGGTGTGGTGTCATGGTGACCCCTCTGCACCTTCCAGCACTGCCATTCCTGCCCACTTGGTGGCCTGTCCCCGACGGGGCTCTGCTCGCACGTCCTGTGTACGACGAGGTGGAAGATGCCCTTCCCCAGGGCTACCTTTCCCTGACGGTGCTTCACTCGGCTCCCTGAAACGCAGCTTTTTCCCCGCTCTCCCCGGGGTGGGAGCCCAGCCCCCGAGCTCCTGCAGCGCTGCTCCCCCGGTATAAGCTCGCTGTGATTTGTCCTTTGCTGCTTTCGCTCGTTCTGAACCCGCTGGCGCCGCGTTTGGAGGCGCTGGGCTGTGCTTTGCTGCTTGTGACCCCCCACGTCCTCCAACCGAGCCGTGCCATGGGTGCAACGTGGCTGTTCCTGCTCCGCGGGGACAGTTTGGGACTTGTCCCTCCGTGTCCCTGCTCGGGGGGCTCCATGACCCCCCGTGTAACCCCCCCAAGGGGTGCTGGTGCAGGTTTGTGCTCAGAGAGGACGTGGTGGCTGCGTGAGGTTTTAGTTTCTTAGGCGTACGCAATAACGAATAACCTGCCCCCCCGAGCTGTCCGTTACCAGCAGTAGTGCTCTCTGCTCTTTCCGTTGATGTTTACTAATGTAAATCCAGTATTTGTTACTGTAATAGGATTTTTTTTTTTTTTTGTACGGTACTTTGAAAAAACCCACAAAAACGACAAAAAAAAAAAGGAACAAAAAAGAGGAAAGAAATAAACATTGTTAATGACCCGGCTCCTGGATTGCTGGGGGAGGGTGTTACGTGGGGAGCGGGGGCGTGAGGGCGGCAGTTCCTGGGCTGGGTGCAGGATATGACCCATCCTGCGAGTGGTGCCAGGACTCTCCTCCCCGGTTTTGCAGGTCCGGGGCACGTGAGGACCAGCCCTGGGCTCGCCAAGGGGCGAGAAACGGCCGGAAAAGGCGTCTCTAAACAGCGGGGAAATGCGAGGTTCCTCCGCACTCAGCCCCGGAGCTGGGCTCAGGGGATGGCTTGGGCAGCACCCCCTTCCTGTACCCGGAGCTGCCACCCCCGGGGGGCTCCAGCACCAGCACCGCCCCGGGGGGGCTGCGCGGGGGCTCGGCAGGGATCCAGCCCTTTCCCTGCTCGGGAAACACCAGGCGTGGGCTGCCCCAGGTCGGGTTTCAGCCCCAGACGCGTCGCAGCCCGCGGGGAAGCAGCAACGGCTGGCGGGGCTGTGACCCCGGAGCTCCAGCTCAGCCCCGGGGGGGACAGCAGGGACGGGGTGGCCGGAGCCCCACGTGAGGCGGCAGCGTCACCGCAGGGGCGGGAAGGGCAGGAAGGGCGCAGGGAGGCGGGCGCAGCCGAGCTTTAAAAGTCCTTGCTGGGACGGGCTCGCTTCCGCGTCACCCCGGCGTCCCCATGGCCCCCACGGTGCCGCTGCCTGCCCTGGCGCTGGTGGCCCTGGTGGTCCTGGTGGCCCCGGGGCTCGGGGTGGCTCCCGGCTGTGACCGCCCTGCCCACCTCTGGTGCAGCTCGCCGGAGATCGCCGTCGCCTGCCAGGTCAGAGCCGCGGGTGTCAGGGCTGCCCCACGCAGGGCAGGGTCACCCCACACGTGGGGACGTGTCCTACCTGCCCGGCGGCGGGGATGAGGACGCGGGGACGGGGTTGGGGCATCACCTGGCCACGGTACCTGGAGCCAGTGGCGGCTCCGAGCGCCGCTGTGGCACAGGCGGGCACAGCGCGGGGATGCTCAGAGCTCCCGTGCCACACCGGCATCCCTGGGGAATTGCTGTGCTCCAGCCGGACCCTGACCCTGGACCCTCCCTGGCCGCCTCCGGCACTTCTACTTTTTAAGCATAAAACGGCTTTTCAGTTTGTTCCTGCCGCGAACAGCCCCAGGCGGTGACAACTGTATGACGGTGGCTCTGGCAGTGCCCTGTGAGCCCCGCGGGGCTGCAGCCACCACCCGGCGGTGGGTGCAGGGCTGTACCCCCACCCAGGCGTGTCCTGGCCTAGATTTGTTTTCCTCTGAAACAGTTTGGGGAAGTTCTCGTGGAAAACCCCAGCGCTGGGTTTCGGCCACTCACAGGATCCTGCGGCTGCCTGAGGCCCCTGGCCGCTCTCACTTCCCTCCAGCCCTGCACACCCTCATCCCCCTTCTGCCCCACATCTCAGGAGCTTTGCCCCCTGCAAATATTGGGGTTCTGCAGCTGTATCCCCTCTGCACCCCAAAAACCTCCCTGCACGCAGGTGGAGAACCACTGCCCCAACCTCCCTCGCCCCGCGGCTGCCCCAGTGGAGCTGAGCCTGTACTATGAGAGCCTGTGCCCAGCATGCCGTGAGTTCCTGGTCCTGAAGCTCTTCCCCACCTGGCTGCTGCTGCCCTCGGAGATGCTGAACATCACCCTGGTGCCCTATGGCAATGCCCAGGTAGGATCTGGCCGAGCCGGTGCTGCGGGCGCTCGCCCCGGTGCCGCCGGCCCCGCTCAGACCGGTTGGTCTCGCAGGAGAGGAACGTCAGCGGGAAGTGGGACTTCCAGTGCCAGCATGGCCCCGAGGAGTGTTTAGGCAACATGATCGAGGTGATGGTCCCTGTTCCCGTGGTGCTGGCATGGGGGGGGTCCAGTGGCCCCGTACCACCCACTCTGTTCCCATAGGCCTGCCTGATGCACGAGGCCAAGAACTTCAGCACCTACTTCCCCATCATCTTCTGCCTGGAGTCGGGCAGCTCCGTCACCAAGAACCTGGCAGCTGTATGTCCCCTCCCCCATCCCTCATGCCCTGCTGTGGGGATGTCCCTGTCCCTCATGCCCTATAGGGACATCCCTGTCCCCCTGAGTGCCCCGTGTGTCCCCTCTCCTGGCAGTGCCTGCAGATCTATGCCCCAGAGCTGGACAGGGGCCGTATCGCCGCCTGCGTGCAGGGGGACACAGGGATGGCCCTGATGCACCAAAACGCCCAACTGACTGAGGCACTCGACCCCCCACACCAGTTTGTGCCCTGGATTGTCATCAACGGGGTATGGTGGGGGGACCAGTGTGCCAGGCAGGGCTGGGGCACTGTGGAGACCCCCCTGAGCAGCCCCATCTCCCCCCACAGAAGCACACAGATGAGCTGCAGGCACAGGCAGAGGCCTCGCTGCTGGGGCTGGTTTGCCACCTCTACCAGGTGGGACAGGGATCTGGGGGGACAGTGGGGCTTGGGGACATGTCCCTGTCCCTGCTGGGGCTCTACTGGCCACTCTCTGGCAGGGGGAGAAGCCTGAAGTCTGTGGGAGCTCAAAGGCCCCGAAGATCCCATTGGGCTGCAGGCGCTGAGGGACGTTGTGGGAGCACCAAGGGAGAGGCCAATAAAAAGGATATTTTTTTTGAAAAAAACAAGTATCTGGAGTGGTGTTTTGGGGGGAGCAGGCAGCGGGTGGTCCTGCCCCACCATGGTGCAAGGGGGAGGGAGCTGGGCATCAGGGCAATGGGACTGGCCCTCTTCCTGCACCCAGGGCATGTGACAGGATGTGCTGGGCTCTGCCAGGGAATCACCTGCTCCTGGGGATCACAAAGGAGCCCCTTGGAGATTTCCATGGAAATCTGCTACGCCCCTCCCTAAGGAACAGAACATTTGCTGTCTCCAAGCCCTGGGAAGCAGCTCTGATGTCCTTCTTTCTCCTTACACATTAAGCATTTCAGCAGCTCTGTGGGCCAAGACCATCCCAGCTCCTACCAGTCCTTCTCCATTCCCGACCAGCAAGTCTAGGACAGTGTCTTTTCTGATGGCTCCCTGAGTACTTGAGACAAGAAGCTCTCTCCCACAAACTTGAGGAATTTCCCAGACCTGCTGGCCACAGCAGGAGGCCATTTCCAGCTGGGGGCTGGGAAACTGAAATCCACCGTAAGGACAAGGACTCCCGATCCAGAGAGCTCTCCTCACTACCTACGGAAAAATCCTCAGTGCTGGGAGATGGACACCATCTCCTATTGCAGCCTGTGCTTCGTTTTCCACCCCCTTCAGCCTCACCCAGAGGCTCCCGACCACATCATCCCCGACTGTGGGGACTGTTTCAATCCTCTCCCTCACATAGGGTGACACCTTCCCCTCTCCAGCCCTACCCACCTCTCCTGAACAGCCAGGACTGTCCATCACAGCACTCCAGGTGTGGGACTCATCCTACTAATCCCAAGGACATCCCAGCTCTGGGAGCAGACCAAAGGCACTTGCACAGGCAGCCCTCAAGAGCCACCTGTAGGGGGTCAGGGGCACTCCATCTCCCCTTAACTCTTCCCCTCTCCAAGAGGAGCTCTTGGGGCAGGGAGGACACAGTGAGCCCCATCCTGGGAGATGCCAGGGAGCCCAGCCAGGCAGAAGGAACCGTGGCCCTGCCACCACAGCAGCTCCCAATACATGGTCCTTTGGGCCCCTTGAGTCCTTCAGCCCTTGGGGCTCCCCAAAATCTTCTAGTCCTGAGGTGGGTTCCAACCTGAGCGCTGCAGCCAGAGGATGCTCTGGTGGGGGTAGGAGCAGAGGTGACCAACAACCACCAGTCCTGTCCCTCTCAGGTTGAGCCAAGCTGTGCCACCTGCCCTGGGCACACCAAGACCCCACCTGCAGCACACCTACCCACCAATGTCCCCCCCCCTGCTAAGACTGACAAGGGAGGCAGACAGGGCCCCTCCTGCCCTTGTCTGCAGCTCAGGCAGCAGCAAGACCAGGAAGGGGGGGAAAAGGTATAATTTAAAAAAAAAAAAAAAAAAAAAAAAAAAAAATATCACACCACCAGCCAGAGAGTGCCTGGAAAATTCATCTCTCTTTATTTGCCCATTTCCCATCCAAAACCTGGACCCCATCCTAACTCTGGGCCCCAGGCAAGAACAGTCCCACTGGCATGAGCACAGCACAACTCCTGCTGCTGCTCAGCCTCTCACCTCGAGCATCGTCCTTGTCCCAAAACTTCCGTCCCCTGGAGCAGCTGCACTGCCAGCGCCCACAGCTCTTGGGGCCACGGAGAAATCTTCTGCTCAAGAGAAGAAGGGAAAAGAAAGAAAATAACAAGCCTCAACCCCAAATGCAAAGGAGCCTCAGCGCCGGAGGACGAGCTCTCTGCTCCCAAAGCTGCTGCCAAAGCCTTTCGTGTCATCGGGGTTGTGGGGCAGGTGAAGGACCCCATCCCACAGGCTGAGGGGCTCAGACACCCACTTTGGTGTCAGGGGATTTCCTGGAGGAGGTTCAATATCAGGAGAGGGGCTTCTGCTCCAGGGTCCCCAGGCACCCGTGGTGCCCCCCCAGCCACCGCAGGGGCTCTTGGTGCTGCCGCGGGGGCTGTAGCAGCTGCTGGTTCCCAAGCCCAGCCCAAGAGGAGGGAAAACCTTGCTGCTGGTGAGGAGTGATCCGGTGAAGGCGCTGAAATTCCCAGGCTTGAAGTTGCTGCCAGGCCAGGCAGGTGCCACGGGGTCCTCGTTCAGGAGAAGGGACAGCGGCCCCGAGGCATCATCCGACCCCGGAGAGCTGCAGAGCAGGGAGTCCTCGTGGCTGTAGGGGAGGCTCAGGGCAGCTCCCTGCACCTTCCAGCCTGGCTGATCCACCAGCTCCTCCACCACCTGCCTCTCTTCCCCAGGTTTCCTCCTGTTCCCCTTCCCGCACAGCCGGACCACCTTGATGCCACTGTCACAGTCACGGTGCCCGAGGTCCTCGAAGGCCCTGCAGGCGCTGTCCAGGCTCTCGTACTCCACCAGGGCACAGCACCTGCTCAGCAGCTCGGGGAACTTGGCTGAGTATCTCCTCACGTCCGAGGGCAGCTTTCGGCCTGGCCGCAGGACGCGGATGGAGGCAATGGCTCCGAAGGGGCTGAACATCCTCAGGATGATCTCCAGGAAGCTCTCCTGGAGCAGCGGCAGCAGCAGTGGGTCCTGCTCCCGGGGCTGCAGCTCCCAGGCCAGCAGCAGTTTGCTGGGGGGGATGCTCAGCAGGGCCTCGGGGATGGGCACCCGGCGCCTCACTTTGGTGCCCTCCTTGTTCACCTCCAGCAGCTCCGAGAATTTCAGGGCATAGAGCGTGAGCTGCCAGTCACGTGTCAGGTACTTCACCTGGGGGAGAGAGGGGGCTGCTGCATGCCTGTGATCTTCCCAGGCAGGGACCACCCTAAACCCATCATCCAGGCAGGCTGCAACCTTATCAACACAAAAGCACAGCAAGGCAATGTCCCCCTTCCACATGAGTGGCCTTGGGGTCTGCAGGAAGTCCCCAGTGTCCTCTGGGCTGTGGCAGTAAACCTCAGCTTCCCCATATGTCACACCACCAGCACTTGCCTGGTTTTTTTGCTTAAGGGATGATCTCAAAGCAGCCTGGGGGAGTCATGGGTGAATCCAGCCCCAGGGGTGGTTTGGGGACTGTTCACTGCTCCCCCAGCCACCCTCCCTGCAGGGCATTGAAGGCAGAGAGAGAAGCCCGCTCTGCATCATCGGGGCTTTGCCAGGAACAGCCTGAGGGGAGTCTGGACCTCCCTGTACACCCCACTGGAGACAGCAGAGCACACCTAGACATCTTCCACCCTTCCCACTCCTCCCCAGGTTCCCTACCTTCTTGAAGGATGTCAGTAGTTTGATGCTGACAAAGCCCATCTTGTTCTTCTGGACGTGTTTCAGGAGGAAAGCGTCCCTGGCCAGGTTCTCATCGGACAGGTAGAATTCCACCTGGGACACGATCCTGCGGACCAGCTGCGGGTCGGGGAGGGAGCAGCTGCGGTCCAGCAGGTCAGAGCCCAAAGCATCACTCAGGTCACGGACCCTTCTGGCAGAGCTGTGGGGACACAGGTGTGAGGTGTGTGGTGCCTTTGGGACATGCAAAGTGTCCCCAAGGGCTCAGCCACGACGGTGGGAGAGTAGAGGCACCAGGGACACCCAGGGCCACCCGCTTTGCCCTGGCTACAGGGAACAACACCAGCCTGTCCCCTGCAAGCCTCCCCAGGCTGGGAGAGCCAGACCATGAACTTAAACACGTTCCAGCCAAGGGACACATTCCCTCAGGGATAAACACAGGGAAAGACCAGGGCTCAGCCCCCCCTGCACATCCCAGCACCACGTACCCGTCGAAGCTCTCCAAGGCGTCCTCCTGGCTGAGCAGGGCAAGTGAGCGGCTCCGCGGGGGGAGGAGGTTCCGTGCCAGGAAGGAATTTCCTTGCACCGGCCCTGGAGTGTTGCATCTGGGCCGGGAATCGAGCCCTGAGGCCACCCCTGAGCTGCATGATGACATTGTCCTTGATCTAGGACGTTACACAGGAGAAGGACAGCGCTGGGACACATCCTGACCGTCACCTGAACCCTGCTCGGGGCTGCAGCCCCCAAGCCCAGCCCAGGGAAGGGGGAGTAGAGGCAGCTGGGTGTTGTCTCCTTACCTGCTTGGCAGCGCTGGGAAGGGTGGAAAGTCTTAGCAGTACATTCCAGATAGCCAGAAGTAGCAGATCCCAACTCTCCCCAGCTCCAAACTGAGGCTCCCAAAACACAAAGCCAAAAAAAATTAAATAAAAAAAATTAAAAAAAAAAAGAAAAAAAAAAAAAAAGGAAAAAAGGAAAGAGAGAGGGAACCCCTGCTGTGGGGAGGCTGTGGGTTTATAAGCATAACCACCCTGAATGAGTTGCAGGGGTGGTTGTGGATCTGCCCCCAGACCCACCTGCTCCAGGTGAAACCTGTTTGTGGTTAAACTGCCCCAGCTGAGCCCTGGGACCAACCAGGCTCCTCCTGCCTCGGCTGCAGAGCCAGGCCAGGGGCAGCAGGAACAGGGGCAGTAGAATCTGTCCCCTCTGGTACCCAGGGGGACAGCGAATTGATGCCACGAGGCCTCTCGGGCATTGCCTCAGTTTCTCTGCCTTGTGCATGATCAGGAACAGCCACGGGGAGGTGGAGGGAGGAAGATTCAGCCCAGGACATCGATTTTGGCTCTCAGTGCTGCCAGAGTGACTGGCAAAGGTCCTTCTCCCTTCAGAAACACCTCCTGCCCCAGTGAGGGAGTAGGAGAGCCCCAGGAATGGGGTGCAGCCCAGGGCAGGGTGTGGGCGGGAGGGGGGGGGGGAGGATGGCCCAGGGCTTCAGGACAATGGGGAAGGAGCTCTGGGATGAAACATCACTGTGGTTTGAGCCCCGTGTTGGGCAGGGTGGGAGGGTGAGGACACATGGGGATGAGAACAGGGGGGTCAGAGCAGCAGGGGCTGGGGCAGGTAGGGGGGTGATACTGGGCTGGGAATGATGCCAGGGCTGGAAAACTTGGAAGTGTCACTGGCAGGGTTGATGCTGGGAGCCCGGCCCAGCTGACCCTCACCTGTGGGTCCAGACAGGGCTTTTGCTGATGTTTCTGTGCCCTGTGACCACATGGACCAGCCAAGGACTCTTCTGGCACAAGGTAAGATGCTGTTTCAGTCAGAATGAAAGAGAAATTGCAAGTAAAGAACAGAAGGTACCTCTGGTGCCTGGTTTCAAATGCGTTTTGGTTTCCATTTGGAGAACTTTGTATCATCTCACTTTGCAAGTGCCTGTGTCCCAGAGGCTCTCCACATGTAGGTGCCTGTTCTCTGATGCCTCAGTGAGGCACAGCCAAGGCTGTGGGTAAAATCCAGGAGTGCCAGTGCCAGACCATGAAGCTAAACCCATCCCAGTCAAGGGACACATTCCCTTGGGAACAAACAGGAGGCAAGCCCAAGGCTCATCCTGCCTGCACGTACATGTTGAAGTTCTCCATGATGTCCTGGCTGTCACCAGACCAGCAGCATCTCCCTGGTGGCTGGTGGCCTTGCAGCTTCCCCATGCAGGGCTGCTCCTGATAAATCCCTGGGCTGTGCTGCACTGTGCAGCTTGAAGCTCATCCTTTTGGGATGAGTCACAGGGACTGGCAATGTCCAACTGCTTCTGGAATGTTGCACCCCTCTGATTTCTCTGGGGTTGGTGTCAATCCCTGCCATCTCCCCTTCTCCTGCCACCTCCTGGCATTCTCTGCTGGTTGGGAAGAGATGGAAGAGAAAGTCCTGGGATGCTTATGTTGAAATCTCTGTGGATTTGCCCACCTTGGAGGGGTGATAGAGCCAGAGGTAGGCTGAGGATGGGGGGCTGTGTGTACTGTGAGGAGTATTTTGAGCTGTGTTTGCTCTCCACTTGCAGCTCAGGGTCGGGAGGTGCTGCCCAGTTCCCCCGGGGGAAATAACCCCCTGCTTCCAGCCCTGAGGCTCAGTATCCAAAGGAAGAGACTCTGGCTGGTCCAGCCACCCCTGCAAGACTGGGCATGACCCAGAGGGAGGGGGAAGCAAGAGCACAAGGGTGAGAGGCTGAGGCTAAACCTTCCCCCTCCTGAGGGATCTGAGCAGGAATGATCCAGCACTTGTCACATCCCTGTCTCGCTGTTCCCATCCTTTCAGTTAGTCTGGAAGCATAATTAAAACGTGCTTCCTATGGCCCAATGCTCAGCTTGATCCCTCAGCCTCTCCTCCCCTTTGGGAGTGTAATGGGGAGTTATCCCTACACAGCAGCTGCTGCTCCATGGGAATCCTGCCTTCCTGCAGACACAGGATCCCTGCCCAAAACTGCTGTAAATACCCTGCACTGGGCAGCTCCTGCATCCCTCCAAAGTGCTGCAGCATCTCCTGATATCTCCTCTCAGGGAACACAGAAGAAATGGGACCACAACACTCCTTGTACAGGCCTGAGCATTGGATACATGTTTATTGCTATTCAGGTTAGGCTTGGAATTCTGTGCATGGGGTTTAGGTGGTTCCCCAGACTCCTCACACGGTGCTGCAGATCTCCAGAGCATCTTGTTTGCAGGTTGGGGTCCCTTGGTGAAAGAGCCAGTGTTCCAGCTGAACTTCCTATGGTCCTCAGTGGGAACAGGGGAGTTAAGACTTGGTTGCTCAGCTGTTTTTTTGAACCCTCTTATCTCATCAGCAGGATCCAAAACACTGGACTCTGACTTCTGGTTGTTATTTACATTTAAATTTGCCTTTCTCACTTCTCTCCTTCTCTCATTTCACTCCGTTTCCATATGAGACGCTTACAGACAACGATAGCACGGGACAGTCAGAGGGAAAATGTGCCACTACACACACTTTGGTTTCACTGGCCATTTCTAATGTGTTTTAAAGTGTCACAGCTACCTTAGTACTACTGGGAACGAGGAAATAAAGAGATTTGGATAGAATATACTCTGCTATGCAAATGTACACGAGACCTCTGGAAAAGCTCACACCAAATACTGCATCATTAGAAACCATAATAATAAAAGCTACTTATGACACGGCCTTTATTCACAGAAAGATTTGCCCCGGGGCTTTGTTTTTGCAGTTTGGCTTGATGACACCCCCCCCTCCTCCGCCCTGTAGCCCACAACACCCCAGTGCAGTCCACATCATCCCAGTGTAATCCACCTCAGCACAGACCCCACAGGACATGGAAAGGGAGAAGAGACCCTACTGAGCTCCCCTGGCTCAGCCCCACAGGAGCCACCGGGAAAAGGCAAAGGGATTCAGAGAGGGGAAATGTCACCAGAGTGCTGAGCTCCCCTGGGTCCATGACAGCCCCTCATGACATGAGATGAGCTGTTGGATCAGTCTGAGCTGTGCTGGCTCTCCTGGAGTTGGGGGGAAGCAGGAACATGGCCCACGCTAAGGCACTGTGGTCACACACCCTCACCCTGCTCCGGACACGGCTGCACCTCCTTCAGCGTTACAGCTGGACAGGGAGTGGGAATTTCACACACCCCAGGACGTGGGGCCAGTGCCCCTCTGCCTGGGCACCCTGGGGGATAGGGGTGCCTGGGGGATAGGGGTGCCATTGCCCACAGGCAATGAACACACTCTGCAACCGGCTGCCACTTCCTTGGAGTCCTTTGGTATCTTGAGTTGGCCTGACGGTGTCCCGGGAGTATTCAGGGATCAGTGGTGAAATGCCAAGCTGGGGAGACATGGGAGCAGGTGGGAATGCTCATCCTGTAGTCCCAGAGCACTCCTGTGTCCATCAGGATCAGAGGGATGTGCAGCCTGGAGTGGGTACAAGAGAGACCAACTGTCCTGTCCTCCCCGGTGCAAGTGATTTGGCAAAGCCAGAGCCTGGACAGCTTGTCTGGAAAGGCTGCAGGGGAAGAGTCAGGTATTTTTCCTTCCTCTTGGGCACTGACTGGTTCAAGTTCGTATCACAGTGAAGTCTGAGAAGTGAGGAAGGAACCCAAACCACCTTCCCTGAAGGAGAAAGCCTCACTTGTTTGTCTCACTCCGGCTGGGGAGGGAGGACAGGCTCTCCCAGCCAGGCACATCCAATCTGCTGCTGACCATGGAGGCTTCCATCCCTTGGGAGCAGACTCTGGAGCTTCTCCCTCCAGACAGCAGCCACATTGGAGGGAAGAGGGTGGCCAAACCAGCCCCATCCCAGCGCCTACCCTGGCGCTGGGATCCATCCTCGAACACAAGTAAACATGAAAGAGAAACTAAGAGGCACTAAGAATGCAGATCTGGGGAGGCTCAGGCTTGGGACCATCCAACCTGGCTCTGGATGTCTTTGTCCAGCTGGAGAGGAGCTGCATGCCTGGCTCAGATCTCCTGCAGGGCGTGGCCAGGGTCGCTGCGCTCCCGCTTCACCAGCGGCTCCCCCACGGCCCGGTCTGTGTCCACCTCAGAGCCCAGCTCACTGATGTCATCTGCAAGGACATGGCTCAGCATCAGAGAGGGGACCAGAGGGAAGGGGAGCTTTTTCCCAGCAGAGCAGGCTGGAAGAGCCAGCATGAAGATCCCCCTCCCACCCTGACCCAGAGGACTTCCCTCGTGTACCTTTGTCCAGCAGTGTTGGAGACAGGGATGTGAGGTCACCAAACTGAAAGAAAAGGGAGTTACAAGGTCACTGAGGCTTTGCAGACCCAAAGTGCCAGACCTGCTCAATGGCCTCAATCACCAAACAGTTCCAACAAAAGTGCCCAGGAAAGACCATGAGCATCAGCAGTGCTGGTGATGGAGAGCAGAAAGCAAAACCAACCACATGTTTGGGGGGGGGAGGGGAAAGCCTCTTGTTGCCATTTAAACTACCCCTTCCCCCCCAATCCAGGGGAGTATCAAGCTCTAGACCAGAGGGAGAAATTTTTCCATCTCCCAGGTGATGTCAGAGTGCAAAGGATGCGCTTTTTCTCCAGCCTTTTGCATCTTTTGGGCAATTCCCCTCTCCTGCTCTCCCTTCACTCCACCTCTCTGCAAAGCCTTTGCAGTCATGTCAGAGAGTGTGTGGTGTGTGAGGCCACGGTGCCAATTGGAATCAGAGAGCTGAGGGTACCTGTGGTTCTGGAGATGTGTTGTCTCTCTCAATGACAAGGTCTGAAACACCAAATTGCTACAAAAATAATGCTGAAAAGTCATGGAAAGGTGGGCAGCAGCAGAAGCTGAGGAGAGCTCCAGAGAAAGCTAAATGGAAATGGAAGTACACAATTCCTCCTCCTTTGCTGGGAAGAATCAGCCTCCTCCTGGAGAGCAGGAATATTGCAAGGGTTTAATGAAGGAAAAAACTGAGGGAGGAAAGCCTCCCACAGCTGGGTTTTGCAGGAAGTCTTTCATGTTCCTTTAATATCAGTAAAGGCAGAGGTTTTGCAGGGAACAATGGGAACTCAGAGGGAATAGTGGGAACTCAGAGCGCTGCAGTTGGAGCGGCAGCGTGGGAGGGGAAGGGAAAGGCTTTGGTTTGCCTGGCTCCCCACATGAGCTCCCTGGAAGGAAGAAAACAGCATGAGCTTCAAGGAGCAAATGAGCTCAGTTTTAATCTCACAGTAGTTTCTATATTGCTGTCACAGGTTCAGCTGGGGCTTTTAACTCTGCATTTCAGAGGGAAAAACTGGATGTGGCCCCAGCTAGGCAGGACAGGGCTTGCCTGCAAGCCAGGCACCAGTTGCTGCCTTACTGGTGAACAAAAAGAAACCCAAACCCTCACAAACAGCACAAACAACCCATAATTTCTCTTCTTCACCTCAAAAACAGAGAGTGTGACTGTGCATGTAACACTGGAGCTTGCAGAGGCCTGAAGAAATTCAATTACTGAAAGGAACTTTTGGACCTTTTTGCTTCACTTAGTGTTTGATGGCAGGAATCCCAAAGTCAGGGTTCTCTCCACAGGTTATGGAGAGAAGTAGAAGATCCTTTTTCTCCCTCCTCCAGGCCTCCAAGGCCCAGCTGCTCCAAAATCCACCAGCTCATGGAAGATGCTCCAGGAGCTCCATCCTTGTGACACTCAAAACAACTCAGCAAATCCTTTGGTTATGAAACATGTTGAGGACACTGTGTGGTTTGTGAACCAAGTGTGTCTCTGGTGAGGCCACCCCTGGAGTGCTGTGTCCAGCTCTGGGCCCCTCGGTTCAGGAAGGACATGGAGGGGCTGGAGTGGGTCCAAAGAAGGGCAACAAGGCTGGGGAAGGGTCTGGAGCACAAGTGCTGTGAGGAGCAGCTGAGGGAGCTGGGGGGGGCTCAGCCTGGAGAGGAGGAGGCTCAGGGGAGACCTCCTCACTCTCTGCAACTCCCTGACAGGAGGGGGAGCTGGGGGGGTGTGGGGCTCTTCTAGCAATAGGGCAACAGGACATAGCCTCAGGCTGCACCAGGGGAGGTTTAGGTTGGACATCAGAAAGAAGTTCTTCACATAAAGGGTGATTGGGCATTGGAATGGGCTGCCCAGGGAGGGGGTGGAGTCACCATCCCTGGAGGTGTTTAAGGACAGACTGGATGTGGCATCAGTGCCATGGTCTGGGTGACAAGGTGATGTTGGGTCATGGGTTGGACCCGATAACCTCAGAGGTCTTTTCCAATCTGGCTGATTCTGTGATTCTTTAGGTGCTGCTTAGTTTGGGTTTGTTTCTGGGGAATGAAGGACTCTCACCTCTCCCATGACAGCGATCGGTGTCTCCCCGGTCGCCTGGGCCACACGATGTTCCACTAGGTAGAACATGTACTCGTCATAGAGCAGGCGGATCAGGTGGAAGGACCCAAAGCTGGCGGCGCTGCGCAGGGTGAGGTCCCGGATCACCATGGAGCTGGAATATGGCCAGGAAACAACATTTGGGTCGTGTTTCGCACTTGTGTCACGTCTGATTCTTCACCCTGAATTCTGGACCCTGAAGGTACTGTGGGATTGTTTCTGCCCCTGTGGGATTGTTTCTGCCTCTAACCCAAGAGTGTCAAACTGCTTTAATAAATAAGTTGATGGAGCATCCTGTCCTATTTGGGCATGGTGGGATTTGGTCAAAGGTTGGGCTTGATGGTCTTGGAAGTCTTTTCCAACTTATTCCCTTCTGCCTCTAACCCAAAATTATCAAATCACTTTAAGAAATAAGTTGATGGAGCATCTTGTCCTATTTGGGCATGGCAGGATTTGGTCTTGATCTTGGAAGTCTTTTCCAACCTTAATGATTCTATCCCTGTCCTGAAAGGACACAGGAGACACAACACTCCCTTCTGTACCAGAGCCACAGTTAACCACAGTTTTACAGTTAAAGAACGTGGCCTTGGCTTTTCAAGGAGCTCTCCACATGCCCTGAGCCCGATGCAGAAATACCTCCAAAATGAGAAAGGAGATGTACCTATAGAAGGACCATTTCAACAGGAACTGCCTGGCTGCCTTGGGGAAGCTGGGACTGCCCTCATGGTGCTTCAGGACTTGAGTAACAACATTATCCAGCCAACTGGCCCACTGGTCCAGAGAGCTTTGCTGCTGCAGAGTGAGCTTGAAATCCTGCTCCAGCTTCTGCACCATGCCCTCCTCACACTGGCACACCCACGAGGCCTGTTCCTGCTCGGGAAAAAGGGTTGATAGTTACTCATGCCAAACCTGCATGGTGTTGTATCCCAGCCCAGGAATGCAGCTTCATTTCTAGTAGGCAAGGGCTGCAAACCAGCTCTGAATATTGTCTCTGATCCATCCACAGTATAATGTTATTATTAAACTATATTATTGTTGGCAGCACTTCTTTCTTCATTGAAGGAGCAGTTAAGCCTGGGAACAGGCTGCCCAGGGAAGTGGTGGAGTCACCATCCCTGGAAGTGTTCAAAAAATGAGTTGAGGACATGGTGGGGTTTGGTTGAAGGTTGGACTTGTTGATCTTGGAGATCTTTTCCAACCTTAATGATTCTACAACTCTTATTTACAAATAAGATTACAAACAAATAAATAAGATTCTATGACTCTTATTTACAAAAGCTCCTCAGTACCTCCTCCACCGTTCACAGCGAGATTGGAAAACTTACATGGAAAAGTAACATCAAAACCCATCAACTTGTTCATTTAGTTGGTTTTTAGCACTGGAAATCAGGCAGTGGTCGAAATCAGGTGGTGCCTACAACCTGGCTGTGGAGCCCCAGCCCTAAAGAACACGACCCAGGGGCAGTTACCTGCACGTTGGCGAAGTCAACGCGGTTGAGGTCGCTGAGCATCTGGTTGATCTGGGAGGTGTTCTGGAGCACGGCCCGGGCAGCCTGGGCCAGGTGGTTCAAGGATGTGTATCTGCGCAGGGTCTGGGCAAAGGCACTGACCACCCCCACCTGCAACACAGCACGTGGGGCTGGGGGGGGCAAACCCTGCTCCAGGCACACCCTGCACTGCCACAGGCTGCCCAGGGCAGTGGTGGGATCACCACTCACGGCTGTCTTCAAAACACATCTGGATGTGCCACTTGGGGACATGGCAGACTTGGCAGTACTGGGTTAATGCTTGGACTTGGTGATCTTAAAGGTCGTTTCCAACCTAATCCTTGTGCCAAGCACTCAGAATAACTCAGTAAATCCTTTGGCTCAGATGGTTGTGAAACATGCTGAGGACACTGTGTGGTTTGCGAACCAGCTGGTCTCTTTAGGTGCTGCTTAGTTTGGGTTTGTTTCTAGGGAATAATGACTCTCATCTCTCCCATGATGTCTCCCTGGTTGCCTGGGCAACATGATGCCCCACCAGGTAAAATGTGCTCATCACAGAGCAGGTGAATCAGGTGGAAGGACCCAAACCTAAATGATTCTCTGATTCTATTATTCGTTTTCTTTAAACTATTAGGTTTTCACATGCTGCCTCCCACAGAAACCAGCAAGGTGGGAACAGGCTGCAAGAATCCCTGGCTTTAGGAGAAAGGGAGTAGGAACCTTGTGTTCCTAGTGAACCTACTGGTTCCTACTGGAACTTGGCAATGCCATTCCCTCCTGTGCTTTCCAGGACAGACTCATTCCAGGGCAGGGATAACAGGCTCCCCAGGGCAGTGGGCACAGCCCCAAGGCTGCCAGAGCTCCAGGAGTGTTTGGACAACGCTCTGAGGGACAGGGTGGGATTGTTGGGGTGTCCTGGGCAGGGCAGGAGTTGGACTGGATGATCCTTGGTGTTCCCTTCCAACTCAGGATATTCTATGATTTTCTCACACAAAGCTTCATCTGCAATTTCGAAGAAATGGCAGAAATGCAGAAATGGCTCCATGGACAGAGAAGCATCAGCTTCTGGTACAAAGGAATTGCCCGACCTGCCCTCCCACTCATTGCTGATTTTGGTTCAGAATTAATCATTACACTGTGCTAATCCTGAGAACTGACTCAAACTGGCCCAACTCCAGCAAGGATTTCCAATCCCTGTGGAAAACTGCAACATGCAGACGTACACTGAGCCCATCTCGCGCCCGTGCTCACCTTGGTCTGCACGACCTGCGGGGGGAATTCACTCATGGCATTCATCAGCCACCCTTCCAAACTCTTGGCAAAATTCCTGATTGCCTGTGTCAGTGTGCCTGCAAAGAAGGCTGCAAAGTTAGAAAGGCTGTTCTGTGTCATTTTTGGGGACCACTTTGTAGCTTAGGACTGCTGGGGAAAGCACAGCCTGTTGTCTGGTTAGCTGAGACCTTGATTTTGCATCAAGGAAATTAGCTGGGTTCTGATACACACTCAAATTATTCTTGTTCTTTAATGTTATTACTCAAACTCTTATTCCTATTCTTGTTCTTATTTTTATTCTTATTCTTGTTCTTATTCTTTGATGATTGGACTTACTGATCTTAGAGGTCTTTTCCAACCTCAAGGTTTCTATGATTTTTCATTATTTTTATTTTCTCTTATCCTTTTCTTATTTGTGGTCCTTCTGAGCACTTTCCAAATGGTGAAATCTGCTCTTCAAAGACACCTATGTGTCCCAGCATATGACTGACAACAGCCCTGAGGGGGACACAGCTTTCCAGTACTGTTCGACTTTCCAGGACTAGGCCCAGTCTAGGCCTAAGCTGAGGTTTTGTGGAGACTGACACAATGCACCTCACTGGGGAGCCAAATCAGAGAGAAAATCCTTAATATCCCATCACTAACCTCCCAAATAAAAGCTGACCCCTATTTTCCAGGATGGTTCCATATAAAAAAAGATGTGATCTCCAAGGAAACAACTCCCGAGGATCGGCTGTGCTTCCATGTGTGTGTAACATGCTGTTTTACCTGACTCCCAGCCAAAATCAGGAGATGTGACGTGTAATACACCAAATTTAAAAGGAATGGGAATTCCCAAGGGCCACAAAATACCACGACAGAGCAAAGCTGCAGGAGGAATATTGCTGTTGCCATAACATTTTAGCCAAAACAAACACCTCTACATCAGTTTTTACAAGGGAAATCTTTGTGGGAAGTGAGTCATCTCCCATCCCTGAAAGTGTCCAAGGCCAGGTTGGACGGGGCTTGGAGCAACCTGGGCTAGTGGAAGGTGTCCCTGCCCATGGCAGGGGTGGAATGAGATGAGCTTTAAGGTCCCTTCCAACCCAAACATTCTATGATTCCATGTTTGTCAGACCCAGTTCCCCAGCACCAGTCATGCTCTGGGATGGGGCTGTGGGTACTCACTGGGCACCGGTCGGAGCACGTCAGGGATGAGGATCTCCACCAGGGCCTGGTACAGGATGTGGTCACAACTCCTCATCCACTTCAGGATGGGCTCATATTTGCACAGAGTGATCAGCTTGTCTTTTGGGAGGGTCCCTTCGGGTTCTTCTTCACTGCAGGAGGAGGAGGGACACTGGGTGAGTAGCAGCTTTGCACTCAGTGCATTCACCCTTCTTTATTACTAACCCAAATTTGCAGCACAAAAAAAGCCTTCAGGTATCTTTCAAAAGGAAATGTCTGATTGTTTGTACAGGTCTTGTCTCTGCAAGCAGCTCCCCATCCATGGGGCCATAGCTCTGGGCAGTCTTCCCGCAAATCCACATCTCCTGCCTTCACCTCTTCCCTCTTTTGCCTCATTGCCTTTCACACACTCCTGTCCACGTGGACGTGGGGACTGTGCTTCAGCACAGGCATTTCAGCAAGAAAGGGCTCAGCTAGTTCTTCTTACAGTCCCAGATATTTCCGAAACCTTCCCACCTTTCCCCTCTGCTCTAAACCTGCTGAGCTGTATCACTGGGAACAAAAAGTTTGCAGCCAATGTAGGCGCAGATTAACTGATATTGAGAGACATTACAAACATTTTCAAGGTGTTTAACACCTTCAAATGCTGAATATTTTCAGAAGGAAGAAGACTTGGTGGTTGGATGAGAACATATTCTACGGATTTTTGTGGGTTTTTTGCTTATTACTCGAAGTTTTACCATTTTTCTTCTGAATAGAAAACATCCATATGGGAAATCCTTATATCCTCAGTAAAAATGAAGAGTACAGACTTGTACAGACTTGTGACAGAAATGGCCTCAAGTTGCCCCAGGGGAGGTTTAGATTGGATATTGGGAAAATTTCTTCACTGAAAGGGTGCTTAGGCTTTGGAACAGGCTGCCCAGGGCAGTGGTGGAGTCATCATCAAAAGGCATATGGATGTGGCACTTGGGGACATGGTTAGTGGTGACTATGGCAGTGCTGGGTTGATGGTTGGATTTGATGATTTTAGAGGGCTTTTCCAACCTTAATGATTCCATAATTCTATAATCAGAGCAGACACTTTCCTCAGAGGTCTGAACTCTGTGTTTCCATTATATTAAACACTTCTATAGAATCACAGAATATGCTGAGTTGGAAGGGACCATCAGTATCATCGAGTCCAGCTCCTGCACAGGACACCCCAACAATCCCACACTGTGCCCGAGAGCATTGCCCAAAGTTTCAAGTTCTCCAAAGCACTCAAAAAGCCTAAGGGAGCTGAAAAACACTTCATTCATCTTTAAAAGAAAAAAAATCACCAAGAAATGGATCACTGAGAACCAGTGGAAGGCCAGGGAGTACCTGGAAGGCAGAGCAGTGGGACCATCACTAGGTGGTGCCTTCGGACTCCAGAAGGATTGCCAGAGCTTCTCGATGTAATGAAACTGGAGGTTCATTACAACATCCAAAGTCGCCTGACAACAAAGAACACAGCTCGTTAGCAGCTCTGTCAGCCCCGTGTCAACACAGTGTTGGCGCACACTTCATGTGCTGCCATTTACAGTAAATAATTTACAAGAAAAATAATGGAAATGGCATTGTTTTGATAATCAATGTAACATAAAACAGGTCACACGGTGAAAAAAATAACATAAAGCACAATATCTGAATTGTAATTCCTCACAAATCAAGCATTCCCTATATATTCCAGCTTTTCCTAAGAGCGGAATATGAGTGAGCACATGAGTTATGTCCCACATTGATTAATAAATCAGATAATCACCAAATAATATCCCAACTAATCACCTCACAGTGTCGCCTGTAAAGAATCTGCAGAGTTTTCACGTCGTTCAAGGTGAAAACTTCTTGTAAGAGGACATTCCCTAGATCAGGGGCTGGGAACTCAGGAAAGACATGGGTCACATCTAGGGAAAAAAAACATTGGGAAAATGCTGAGGGTTAGGCACACTTGGAATACAGGTGCTGCTGTCACTGGTGGCTTTTTCATGATCCAGTTGGGATGAAACAGAAAAAATGAGACTGATAATCGATTTTTTCCCTGATTTACGCTGTTATACTGGGAAAAAAGCAAACAATTGCAGCCCATTTATTCGGTGTGGAAAGGAAAATGCTTTCTTTCTGTGTGTAATAAAAGAAACAAGAGAACATTGTTCTCATCTGCCACACTTGCATTAGATTTTTCTCTGAAGCCTGAAAACCATCTCTCTGGTATTTTCAGAGTACAATGGGAAATATAATTGGGCAGCAGAGGTGTCAGGAGCTCACAGAGCTGGCTGGGATTTGCTGTCTCAGCTGGAGGCGATGGAGACATGTAGATCCAGGACCAGCAGGGCCAGAGAGTCTGTCCCACAAGGAGAAGGTCTGCATGGATCATCTCCAGTTGGATATGCACTGTAGCCTCTGCAAGGGAGAGAATTGCTTTTCTCCCTCTGGTAAGGCTTGGCAGAACCTCCACTCTTCCATGCAATTTGGATAAAACCAGATGGATTAAAAACACACTAAGAGGGAACCAAAAGACCTGTTGGCTGAAGGAAAAAACCCTTCTGGGGGGACAGGAGTCAGCAAATAAACTTTGCAAGCGTGACATTACAAAAGCTTATTAGAATACATACTATATATGAAATATATAATACTGTAGATTTATTAGGATACAATTGGGTTTTCCTGGACAAGAAAAAAATCCTAGACGTGAATAATTAATCATTAAAAGAGTGTCCTCACCTATGAACTGCTGATGGTGTTGACTCTGAGCAGCCACTGACTGCTCCGGTGTGGTGTGGGGGTTGCTGTTGGACCCACTCTCTGCCATCCCATCCATCTTCTGGGCTGCTCTGTACCTAAATTCAGAGCATGGTTTAGGATTCACACAGGCACCAGCAAACACGTACATGTTATTTACAACACATTTGTACAGATCTGTGTGTTCATCAGGTGACACTCAAGGACAACATGTGTCAAGGGCTGAGCATCTCTATCTCTGACTCAAGAGGAGGGGGAAAATGAGCAGCAACTTTTGAAAAGCCTCCCCAAGACAGAATTGCAGGGGTTAAGAGGTTTGCCCAAGGTGACACCAAAAAACAAAAAAGAGAAGCAGAATGGAGTGGGTTCCAGAGCAGACTCTGTCTTAGGAGTTGACTTTCTGCATTTTTTTGCATTTACTTTCTGTTTGGGAGCTGAAGAAATAAATTCTGCTCCTTTTTCACTCCAGCAACCACCAGAGGTGTCCATGCTTCCAGAAGGCAATTCCAAATTCCTATGCATGTTGTATTTTATCTTTAAAATTGCTCAGACACAAGACTAACCATGGCACTATTTAACTTGCACTTCTGCACAAAAACCAAAATGCACCCAAACACAGCACAACCCCCAAGTCCTTTACACTGATTTGGCACAAGAACTCCATAGCTGAGATCCTGAACCAGTCTGGCTACAGGCATGCTGGGAAAGGTGGCACTTACAGTGCTGGCAAACAGATTAGGGAGATAAATGCCATTCCATGGAATTACAGAATAGTTTGGGTTGGAACAGGCCTTTAAAGGCCATGTAGTCCTTTAAAGGCCATTTAGTGAGCCGGAAAATCTTCAACTAGACCAGGTTGCTCAAAGCCCCATCCAACCTCACCTTGAATATTTCCAGGAATGGGGCATCTACTGGAATTGGTTTTGGACCCTCCCACTGCTCCAAGTAACATTTGGGTTTGAACTCAAGCTCATCACTCTCCCCCTTTGCCCCAAGCAAAGCCAATTCCCAGGATTTGGACTACTGAGCTCTTTGGGAAGGCCCTGGGAGCACTTACCTTTGCTTCTGGTGGATGGGCTGCTGCCTCATGGCCATGTACTGGGCGTCCTCCTGCAGACGGTTCAGCGGAGACTCTGGCTTCAGGCGGATCCCATAATAGTGATATTTGGAGTTCCCCCTGGAAGTATCAACATTGACATTGTAAGTGGCCCTGCAATTTAGGTTGTTTTGACAATATTCCCAGCTTCAGGCAGCAATTTCAGTGGCTGAAGTCATGAACTAATAAATGCCATCACCCCTTAGAAAATTTAAGCCCATGTGTGGCCAAACTCAGGGACGTCCACGTTTAAACCCAGCCAGGTTTGCTCCATGGCAACTGGGGAAGAGCAGGCAAAAGTTACAATACAAAGTGTTATTAAACAGAATGACAGAGAGCCCACAGGGGACACTTTGCTATTTGATTAGGGTTTAAGGATTTGTTTTTTCCATAAAAACAAACCTCCATCTTTATCTAAGCTTGGATAAAACAAGCCTGACTGGACAGAAAACTATGATAAGAAAAATGTCTCTGTGGTGCCACAACTTTCGCAGCAACAGGTTTTGATGTGGTTTTGTTCTTGGAGCTGCTCATTTTTGAAGGTTTTGGAAAAACCGGAAGGTTTCTGCAAGCACAGGGGGCTGAAATTCTTTCTTCTTTGCTGCTGTGATGCTCCTTAGCAGAATGTGATTCCATCACATTAGAGAGACGTGTCAGTTGAAGTTTTTCCACCAAACTGGAATTTTTCAATCCCAGTGAAATTAGAGAAATTTAAGAGAGGACTATTTGTCCCAACTTCTTTTGTTGGGTGAATTTTCCCTTTTCAAGGGCCAGTTCAATTGTTCAGTCAGTGCAAAAAAGGGTTTTAGACACTACGTGTTCAGCCCTGTCTTGAGTGATTTTAAGTGCCTGCAAATTAAATAAAAGATGCCTTTATAATCTAAAATTATAATAAATTAGAAAATAGTGGTGGACAGTTCTTTCCATACTTATTTAGGTTCACTATCTCCTTCCCAACCTGCTCATTTGCAATTTTAAGTGGGTTTTTTGCTTGCTGGTTTTTTTCTTTAATCCTTGATGGAATGAAAGAATTTCTCTCATCTAAGGAAATTATTTCATAGCTCTTGCACTTGACCCAATCTACAGAAATCCAAACTGCTCTTCCTACAACTGTTGCCTCCACATTCCAGCTGTGCAATGCCCTGGACATATCTGGTTTTGTTCTCCTTTAGAAGCCCAAATATCTAAGCTTGAATTTTTATTATAAAATCTTACACAATCAGAGAAACCACTTTTTCTCTAGTATATTACCTATTTTTTTATATTCTAAGCTGCGATAAAATGCACACTCAGCTGTGCAGAAGCTCTGGATGCTCCCTTGAAGGACACATCTGTGTGTGTATTTCTCATGCTATGCTTTTGTTGTAACATCCCACGGATCTTTGATGTTTTAAAAGAAAAAAAATCCTCTCACAAGATTCAGCCTGATGCTTTGGGGATTTCAGAAATAAACCATTTACAACTTCGACAGCTTGTCTGTATCAAAGATTCTGTTACGAAGGATCTTTACTGGACTCAAAGGGAGAAACGGCTTCACTGAACCAGAATTTGGGTGGCAGCAACAACTGTGAGGGTGAATTACCTCCTCTTTTCAGACAATATGGAATCACAGAATATGCTGAGCTGGAAGGGACCCACCAAGATCAACTCCTGGCCCTGCACAGACACTCCCAACAATCCCACCCTGTCCCTCAGAGCGTTGTCCAAACGCTCCTGGAGCTCTGGCAGCCTTGGGGCCGTGCCCACTGCCCTGGGGAGCCTGGGCAGTGCCCCAGCACCCTCTGGGGAAGAACCTTTTCCTGAGATCCATCCCAATTCCCCTGGCACAGCTCCAGCTGTTCTCTCAGAAAATGAGATACTAAAGGGATGAGAAGAAGCCTCAGTTCAAATAAAGGTTATTATCCCACACGATCATGGCCGGTTGTATCTGTAGATCTCAAAATGACCTGTGCCTGCTAAATGATGCTCAGTAGGTTTTTAGAACACCTGAGAGAAGTTGCAGGAAGGCTTTTTTTCTTATTTCGATGTAGATTCCTACCAACCTGGTTCCCAGGCGCCGGGTCCTCAGTCCCATGAACACAGAGCGGATGAGTTTCCCAAAGGAAGCAGCGTTCACTGGATCCAGTTTGTGCTCCTGGCAGTGCCTCAGGTAATGGTTGTACAGGGAGCTCCTGGGAAGGCTGACACCTTCTGCTGTCTCATAGTTATCCAACAACCACTGGAGCTTTATGTATGGAAAAACAGATAATATGGAAGTCTAAAGAGGGCTGAAACGGGCTGCGTCAAGTAGAGCCTACTATCAAACATCCAGAAAGCCCGTCAGACTTCAGGAGTTCAGGAGAACTTAATGTTGAGTTGTTAATTTATACAAATTAATTTTATACAAATTAATTTACATAACTTATAATTTATAAGTTATAATTGATCATTTTTTTTATGGTTGCAAAACCCCCAGCCCAAAGGTAACAACCCAAACAAAAGTGCTGTCACTTCTTGCATTAAATACACCCCTCCTGCCAACTCAGTGTCCACCTGGGGTTCAGCTGAATTCCTGCAGAGCCAAAATAAAGCTGTAAGAACTCGTGTTTTCCAAGAAAAAAGATTTTAAGATACTGCCTAAGAGGAATAAATTTTAGAGTAATCAAATCTGCTGCAAAGTCTTTATTAATTTGAAGCTTGGCATGTCTGCAACTGCTCCCTTAAAAATAAAATAAACGGTTGCCAAAGCAACCTTAAAAATCTGAGGGGATCCATCTAGTTTGCAGAATTTACTATCTGAACTTACTGACCTTTCTGTTGATTAAAATTTGCATTTAATATAAATTATTTATGCCTAGACAGTCTGAAAGGGCAGGTCCTGCTCACTGTGTCAGCACAGGAATGAAAATGCAAAAAGACAAAGCCTCCAATCTTCTTTAATTGATTAAATGACTTCAGCATCAATGAAATAAGTGTTATATTAAGGGAATTTGGGAAGAAACTAGATGTACAAATGGACTAATATCTACAGTGTTGGTAAGAGTCCTTTCACTGTCCCAAGGGATGTTTGGGATTAACATTTTCCAGGCTTCCCTCTCTGCCCAGACCTCCATCCCTGCCTGTGTGGGAGGCACAGCTCCCCCAGAACCAGCTGCATTCCCACCAGATCAGTGGCAAAACACACTCAGGTTGTGGATGCCAAAATATCAGCCACACCATCTCTTTACAACTAATGGTTCCAGTAGATCTTGGAATTAAGCACAGACTTAATCTAGAAATCAGTAGGATTTGACCAGGCACATGGATTACACGTTGGCCCACGCTCAAGTCCTCTCCACTCCTACTCCAGTTTTCATCTCTTTTCTCCCATTTTTCTCTTGATGAAACTTCAGGGTCCCAATTCACCACGAGACTGGAGTTTTCTATCAATAACTCTGTGAAAATACAACCTGAGCTGTGTGATGACATCTCTGACACCTCACTCCGGTGAGTTATTTTCAGTTTCTGTGTTTCATATCCCACTTTACTCTCACACAAAGGCTTTTTGGCACCTTGACTGAGTGTGCTGTGGGGCTCATTCACAGATCCAAATTTAAACTGCTGCTGCACAGAATGAGCTGAATCCAAAGCTGTGCAGTAAAAACTATTTCATTCAGCCTGGAGAAGGCTGAGTGATACCTCAAAGTGCCTTCCAGTGTCTGAAGGGGCTCCAGGAGAGCTGGAGAGGAACTTTTGACAACAGCCTGGAGGAACAAGACAAGAGGAAATGGCTTCCCACTGCCAGAGGGCAGGGTTAGATAGGAGATTGGAAAGAAATTCTTCCCTGTGAGGGTGGGGAGGCCCTGGCACAGGTTGTCCAAAGAAGCTGTGGCTGCCCCACCCCTGCAAGTGTCCAAGGCCAGGCTGGACAGAGCTTGGAGCAACCTGGGCTAGTGGAAGGTGTCCCTGCCCACAGCAGGGGGTGGAACAAGGTGATTTTTAAGGTCCCTTCCAACCCAAACCATTCTGGAATTCTGTGATTCATTAGTTGGGTTTGATTCAAACCAACCACAAGTTCCAGTGACTGGATCCACCAGTTCTGGTGGCCTTTGGAGCAGAGCAGGGGCTGCCACAGCTGGAAGAAGAAAAACCTTTGGCCATTTTCACCTTTGTCCTGCTTTTTACAGAGCTACTTGTCACCCTCCCACCTTTCCTCATCACCTGAGACACTCTTTGATCTTCCACAAAGATCATTCTGACCTCCAAACCCCAAAGTTCTAAGAGATGGTCTTTGCTAATGATCCCTAATGATCCTTTGTGCTCTCTTCTGCAGAAGAGACATCCCTGGAAGCCCCAAAAGTCTTCCTGTAGTCCTGAGCCACCTCCACCCTCTCAGCTTTCTCTAACAAAAGTGGAGCCCAGTGGTTTTGGCATAAAAGATCAGCAGGAACTCAGTTTTAAGTAGCCCAAATCTGTGCTAATTTTGGCCCATCCCCTGTATTTAAAAGATTAATTATTAAGGTTCTTTGAAATTTTTAAACCATTTATTTTATTTATCCTATGGCAGATACTTAATGTGTACCAGCATTTTATTGCCTAAACCTTAAGGCTGAAAAAACATATAAAAGTTGCACTACTATGGAAAAATTCATGTATAAGTAAAACTCTCTGATTTAAATTAACCCTGGGCATTTTTATTCTAATCCCCGATATTTCTAGAAGATTTCCTTCATCTTCCAGCTTTCTCTTCCTGCAAATGTCTTTTTATATTCCTTTAAACATTACAGAGTTTCACAATATGAATTCCCACTGTTGAATTAGAAATCTATTGTGAAAGGCACAAAAGAGCTTGAAACAGAAATCTGTCAGAAGAGAAATAATTTTCCAAACATGATTTTTGCTTTTCCTGCATAGTAACAACAAATTCAAGCACTTAAAATGAGAATACTAAAGATTCTCTCCATTTGTATCCCTTATTCTGTTTATTTTCTGAATTTTGTGTGACAATAAGGTATTCTCCAGTTTTATTTCTGTTTATGCCACGATCAGGCTCCAATAAAATCTCTCTGCAGCCATATGCTGCTGTGTTTGTTACAGGCACTGCAGGGGAACATTTAATTTTCATTTCTACTTTAACTTCTGTTTCTTCTGTTTGTTTTCCTTTAAAATCTTGAGCAAAAACCTCATCCTTGTTTGATCCAAGGATGGCTTGTTAAGGATGGAAGAAATCATACGTGTTGTTGGCTGAGAAAATCAACACACTTTTTTTTAAGGTCCAGGTTTGGAGAGGTTCTTATGGATATTTCTAGAAAATACAGAAAAACCCCAATGAACAACAATTTGTGGTTCATATTTCAGGTGTTTTTAGCTGAGACTATGAGCAGCAGGTTCTAAATCCAGGTTCAGTGCAGCTCAGAGTTAGGATGGAGCCATTTACCCCCAGGAAAGAATTCCAATGGGGGTTTTTTGGGTTTATTTTGTGGTTTTTGGTATTTCATTCTACAGGCAGCGAGGAAAAACTACATTGTCCCCCTAATCCTACAAGTGCTACAGATATCCAGGAGCCACAGGGCCTCAGGCAGGTTACAGCATCCAAATACTCTAGCTTTAGGTACTCATGTATAAAAATTGTAGCAATTTTTCTCCAATTTCTTTGCATCATCTGCAAGTTCATAACTGGCAATTAAATAATCCTCTGACCTAGGGACGCTGGGTCACTCGGTTCCGGTCACACAGTGACATGACTCCATCAGAAACATCCCGTGTCTATGAGTATCAGCATGAGCTTCACCTTCCATGCTTGAGATTTCAAGTGCTCTTAAATAACCTCTCGGAGAGTTTTTAAGCCAAATTAAGTTATGAAGTGTGGCTCCATTTCACCTTGATTTTGGTTAAAAGGTATTGTGTAAAAAGTTACCTCTTGACTGAGATACCTTTAATTGTCCTCTCTTTAAAAAGAAAAAAACAAAAAACCAACCAACAGAGATTTCTGGCATGAAACATCTGCTGATGGCAGGAAATAAACCATTATCCCGAGAATGTACACATGTGCAAAATGCCAAATTTAAAATGAGGGAAAGAACAGAATGAAAAACTCTGCAGTCTTAAGGCTCAAAGCAATTAAGTCACAATTAAGTGCAATTAGCATCATCTCCCCACTTCCTATTGCTTTGGTCAAGCTGGAATTTGCTTTCAGCCTTGACAAATCAGTCACCTGCTCCTTCACTCTGGTCCTCCTGCACAAGCCTGACAATCTCATGTGTCAGCCACGTGGAATTTGGGATGGGGAATCCACTGTCTGGTGTTCTGTTTTCTTTTTTTACCAGGAAGAAGTGGGAACTGAAACATCCCTTGTACCACAGCACGTGCTGGGGAAGATGCACCGAAAGGTTCAGCGCTGCTGCTCACTGGGATGTCCCACACCCTGCACCGGGAGACAGCTCTGGGATCTCCAGTCTCCAGGTGGTGGCTGCCCCATCCCTGGGAACATCCAAGGCCAGGCTGGATGGAGCTCTGAGTACCCTGGTCTAGTGAAAGGTGTCCCTGCCCATGGCAGGGTGTTGGAATGAGATGGGCTTTAAGGTCCCTTCCAACCCAAACCAGTCTGTGATTCCAGTCCAGCCTCCTACTCAGATTAGGGCTCACTTTCATGGGAGCTCAGGTCCCTCAGATGAGTTCTTAGAACCTCCCCAGGCAGAGGCTGCAGAGCCTCCCTGGCAATCACAGAATCACAGAATATGCCAAGCTGGAAGGGACCCACAAGGATCATCCAGTCCAACCCTCAGCCCTGCACAGGCCCATCCCCAAGAGTCACACCCTGTGCCCCAGAGGATCATCCAAACCCTCCTGGAGCTCTGGCAGCCTTGGGGCTGTGCCCACTGCCCTGGGGAGCCTGGTCAGTGCCCAACCACACTCTGGGGGAAGAACCCCCCCTGAATGGCACCAAAATTCTCTAGAACCAGAGTCTGCCTGGTCTGGTTCTTCAATGTGCTGCATTTCCTACAGACACTGTGTATTATTATAATATATTATTATGTTCCCATGTGTCCGCAAACATCACTCCATGCTCTGGAAAGGCAGAGCAAGGACACTGGGGGTCCATGAGACAGCAAGTTTCCTCAGCTCAGGCTCTGTGCCCTGACAGAGGGAATGCCCCACCCCAGCCTGGGGTGTCTGTCCTGAAGCAGCACCTTCAGTGGGGACAAGAGGAGAGTGGATATGTCCACACATGCTCAGGAAGCAGTTTGTTTGCTTTAAAGCTTCTAAGAGCACTTAAACCTCATGCCAACGCATGAATTGTGCCCTCAGAAGAGGGACATTGAGTTCTGTACTTCTACTCTGCAAGACAAGGGTGGGGAAGGTCTGATCAGAGGCTGGATTGGGCTCCAGCTCCATCCTGTGCAGCCTGTGGTCAGGTGAGATCTTTGCTTTCTTTCCTCTGCCCTTTTCCTGGATTTCTTCAAACCTCCTTCAACACCACATCATGACCCACCCATCCTGCTCTGTGCTGGGAGAAACAAGAAAAATCCTGCAGAACAACATGATCCTTGGATGAACCTGCACAGCACTCTTGGCATGGGCAGGCGAGCGTGGGATGGGAGGGATGCACAGGAATGCTCAGAATGGGAACTACCAGCCTGACCCTGCAGGTTTGTTTTTCCCCAACGACCACCAGAAACCTTCAGTGTCCACCAGCTGAAATAAGGATTGAGCTCACCCAGGAGCCCTGGCCTGGAGTTTGACATCAGCTTAGGAGAATCAGACTGGTTTAATATTCCTTTTGTTTTCTCAGGCTATTTCTCCGCAATGAAGAAGCCAAAGTTGGGGTTTTTTTTCGGGACCTAAGAATGATAACAAATCTGACCCCAAATACAAAGCCAAAGGAAATCTGTTAAAATAAAGAAGCACCACTCTGTGCACTGTGATTTATCAGTGCAGGACATGCTTGAGCTTAATCCAAACACAGCAAAGTCCAGGCAAGTCCAACGACTTCAATGTGACTTGAACTAAACCCTTCAAATCTCACCCAGGTATGTGCTCACTGCTCAGTGTTACTGCATGGGAGCCACAAACCAGGATACAAAGGTCCAGGAGAACAGTGTGAATTCCACAGAAAGCAGGGAAATTGTTGGCACAGTGCAGAGAGGGAGGGCAAGCGCATGGATTTAGCACAGCATTGTAACAGGAATGGGCTTCCTGAGGCACAGAGAGAGGGAATAAAGGCATTCACAGGAGCAGGCTTTTGGTTTGTGCTGTCTGAGGGATATTTGATATCTGTCACCATTCACACCGAGTCATCACTGCAGATTTACAAGTGATTTTCCAGCCATTTTTCAGTTTCACTGAATGAACTTCCTCAAACGTGTTTATCTAATTGCGAGCAATTTCCATTGCAAGGCAGATGAAATAAATAAAGTCAGAGGCAGTTAACAGACTCCAGAGCATCTCAGCAACAAACATTATCACCAGGGCACTTTTTGCAGACCCTTTTTCCTTGGGAATGGGCTGTTTTGGGCAGTACAGCTCAATCACTTTGAGGGACTTGTGCTGTTGAATACACCAAAGGGCTACAAATAATTCTCCCACCAAAGCAGGGAAAAGGTTGTAAATTCTGATCATAACTTACATGGCTGTTGAGCAAACTGCTTTTGTGTGATGTAATCCCTTCACTTTTTTGTAGGTTTTCAATCGCCATTTCAAGCTAAAGAAAATGTGCACAGGAAAACAAAAAAAAAAAGGAAAGAAAAAGAAAGGAAATCAGATAGTTAGCAACAGCCAGGATTATGTCTTTATTAATATTTGAATGATTAATGCTTTATATCAACAAGCTTGTGAAAAAGAGGCAAACAGATGAGCATAGTCCGTGTGGATGAAGCTGCAGAGGCGTTACTGGGACGTGCAAATGGACACACAGCAAGAACCACCACGGGGGTGACAGAGCAAGACCAGGGGAGTTTATCTTCCACTAAAAGCATTGTCCATTTCTAAAAAAAGCAATTTTCCTTCTCCTTTCCCCTTCCTGCTGAGACCAAACTATCACCACACAGATCCACTGCACTAGGACAAAGACTTGCTGCAGAGTTTTGCCTCTTAAGGAGAACTGACAGGAATTAGTTTGGTTATTAACCTCTTAATATTTTGTCAAAAACTAAAAAAAACTCAATAAAATGGGTGCAAAGAGGGCTGACACAGAGAGGGCATGAGCTGGAATGGATAAGGGCTCTCTGACACTGAGGAGAACTGCAAAGGGACTCTGCAGGAAGAAGCCGGGTTTTGATTAAATGTGCTCTTCCCCAGAAGACAGGATGGCACATCTTGATGCTACTGAACTCAGAGGAGCCAAGGTAAGGCCTTCTGGCCCCTCAAGAGCCTCCTTGTTCCCTCTGTGTGGCTCCCATTCTACCTTTATCCCAGCTGTGGCTTCTGCCTTGTGCCCCAACCCTCACCTGGACCCTTCTTGTGTTGTCTTCTCCTTTCTGCTCCTGGGACTCCCTTGACAAACTCTGGCAAACTCCTTAGAGGCAGCTGCTGATCCCAGAGCCCCAGTGCTCCTCTTGAAGCTTTTGGCAAGTGAGGAAATAAAATAACCCCCTCAAACCTCCAAAGAAACCCACATTAAGGGACTGCCAGAAGCAGAACCTCCTGTTTCTTTCCAGTGGATGTTCTCAAACCCCTGTTATCCATGACCTGTTAGCGCAGGCAGGACAAGGTAGCACATATCAGCCAGAAGAACTATCTCTAGCATCTCTTCTCATTTAACACACATCTCCTCTGCGGGCACATGCACATGCAGATGGTCTGTCCAGGGCCTCCTTCCCACATTCACAGTCTGCACTGACTCATTGCATGGGGAAGATAAAGGTTGAGATAAACCAGACATTTACAAACCCAAGCTTTGTCAAAAAGGTGGGAGAGCAGAACAAATCAGATCCCACTTCTCAAGTAACATCCAAGAACCAAAGTCAAGCTCTGTGCCATATCCAGGTCTGAACATGACACTGTCCAAGCACAGGTCCCTTGACTTCCATGCCAAAGTGCCTCCACAGTGGCACTTCTCAAGATGTTATCAGCCAATTCAACACAGGGTCAGTCTAAGCCCAGCTTTTCCGTTGAGAACGCTCTCACACACTGGTGTGCCAGGAGGAACCAAGGCCTGATTGCTGACACAGCTTTCAGGAAATGAGTCAGTGCTAGAGGGAGACCCCGTTTCCTTCCTCTCCTTGAGCCGGTTAGCAAGCCCTGTTATACAAGCACAAAAACACTGCCTGTTCCTTTTTGGTGAGTGTCCCATACAAATGAACACTTTGCATTTGCAGAAAAAAATATTACAGGGAAAACTCTAAATGCTCTTAAACAGCCTTGCAGGAAGGTGAGGAGCTCTGAGGACCCACTTATGGGACGTCTCAAGGATTTCCTCTCTTGCTACAGACTAATTTAGATGAAGATTAATAGTGCTGTGTTGGCACAGACACCGAACAGGGCTGTTCCATGTGCTGTTCAGATGGAGCAGAGCATCATTATTCCAGCAGATATGGAAGACAGCTTTCTTTAAATATTTGAAGTTTGTTTTTTTTTAGTGTACATACAATCTTTACCAAACATCCCTCAACCTCCTGAGGTAGCTCTTAGGCCACTGATAATTCTGAAGCACTCCCTTGTTCCCGGTCTCTTCTGGAAATATCTTGTCTCCTCCAGAAAGACCTTGCTTTTGAGGTCTTGGTGCCAGCTCTGCCCCAAGCCCTCAACATCCCATTCTCCACCCAACTCTAATCCCTCTCCTTCCTCATTCCTGGCAGCAGCCTCCCATGTTGCCCAGCCCTCCCTCCACTGACCACTGTGACATCCATCCCCTCTGCACTGCACCCCAAGGCCACATGCAAAGACCATCTGCAGGAGCTCTACTTTCCTTTCTCTCCACAACACTTCTAATCCTGCCCCACCACATTTTGCCAGGTCTCTTTAACACCAGCCTTTCCCATTCCCTGTTTAGGCAGGACATTGCAATGAAAAATAATGTTCCTGCCCATTGATTTCATTCAGTCCCTGCTCTCCTTAAGCCACCCACATTTATTAGGGGTGTCTGGAGAAGCTGCCCCATCCCTGGGAGTGTCCAAGGCCAGGTTGGACGAAGCTTGGAGCAACCTGGGCTAGTAGAAGGTGTCCCTGCTCATGGCAGGGAGTGGAACTGGATGATCTTTAAGGTTTCTTCCAACCCAAACCCAATGATTCCATGATTATGTGGAATTCCAAGCAGTTATCATGGTTCTGCTCTATCCCGCTCCAACCCTAGACTGTGCTGGAAGAACTGAAAGCCACACACAGACACATCCCTGGACTGTCTGCCAGGCACTATTCCACCTTCTTCAGCCCCTCCACAGACATTTGGTGTTAAAACACCTTCAGAAAGTTCATCCCTACATGAAACAGAGGGAATTTATCTCAGATAAAGTGACTTTCCATAAAAGTCACTTCCTAATATTTCATGTTTTTTACTGAACAGCCTTACCTCATGTGACTGCACAAAAAATCTGTGCATGGGACATTTTCTACTTGGGCTTTTTACACTGTGCCCATCACCATGGAAAAGAAAAAAAATCCCAAACAACAAGAACCCCAAAACCCAAGAGTGATGTTGTGCAGCTTTGCAAGACGCAGTCCCACACAGGTGACAAGATCAGTAGCCACTTCCTTCCAAATAACACGCTTGAGCAAAAAGCAAATGGTTCAATGCTAATTTTTAACTATGAACAGTTAAAATACACACCCTCACACAATTCTCATCCAAGAACTGAACCCCAGCTAACCCAGTATCCGTAATTTTCCCTAGGACTTTTCCCCTGTTTCTACCTAAGGCAGAGCACATTTACTCCAGGATCAAGAGAACCTTTCAAGGCACAATGATTCAAAAAACACGGAGTTTATATCCTAAAACTCTGTGGGAAATGAAAGTACAACTTAATAGGCCAGATTTTCCAGAGCCCTCAGTAGCAAACAGCTCCTGGGTTTTTTTCCCCTGGGTGATGCTGCTCACACATTTTATGTTCTGGCCCACACACTGCATTACACCTACGTTTATATTTATATTTATATGCAAACATACAAACATAAGTCTGGAAAGGAAGGTGAGGAATGTCCCACAAAATGAGCTTCCACCACTCCTGGTAGCTGCTTTGGGAGATTCCCAAATCAAAGCCCTGGGAGCCTCTAACTGCAGAAAGGCTGTTTTGGGTGAATATCTACAACCCCCCAGTCCTATACAGCTATACAGCTGTGCTTCCAGCACTCTGGCACTTAACTGACAGCTGGAGAGACAGTATTTTTAAAAAAGGAGAGCTTTAAAACACTTCTGTTTGATCAGTATTACCCCTAAAGTACATTTTCTGTAACATATGGCAGGGAGAGAATACACAGTGGTGTAGAAGATATATATACAAAGACTTTTTGATCACTGTGCACTTGGCATGATCAGCTTGACAAAATTTATGTGCTAATTATCCACTGGGTTAATGAAGGATTTTCCAGGTCTCTTCATAATTAAAAATACATTTCATTATTTTGGGTAAACCAAGCCCCATGTTCAGATGTTAGATTTGGTAGAAAACATAGAGACAAATGTGTTGAATTGGGAAGCCAAAATATTTTGCCTGTGGGGAAAAAAAAAAAAGCAAGACCACAGAGGACTTTCTCTTATGCTCCATATTTTCAGTGATTGGGAAGTTTGACCAGTTCCTGCTTAGCAAGAGGGACATTCCAAACTCCAACTGGAAAATTATAGTATGCCAGTGTCTATTCTCTCTCTTGCACTTATGGCATGTTATAGACATTGATAATGACAGGAAGTTTTATTTTCTGAAGGATTTCAGTTCCCTTGGAACAATTCCTGGCCCCTGAGCTGCAACACCTGCAGGGCTACATACCGTTGCTGGAGAGGAGCGTGAGGTGTGTGACAGGGAATGTCTAGAGTTCTCCAGCCCCCCATGAATGAGATAGGCTCCTGAGCCGGAGAGGATCTGACTTCCCCCAATGTCCATGGTGATGCCCACCATGTTGTGAGAGGGAATGGCAGGAGGAGAGGATGCCGCTGTAGTCACCTGAGCTCCTCCTCCCTGCGCTTCGAAATAGGACGCGGCGCTGCTGGGGGCGTAAATCTGAGCCTCGGTGTTGTAGGAGTAGGCGGCTCGTCTGTCAAGGAACACAAGGGTCAGGGCATGGAGAGACGGAATTCCACGGGTAATAGTTTCTGGAAGCTGGAGCACCTCTGGGAAAAAGCCTCGACTCTTGTCAGTGGGATTTGCTGCAGTGAAATGGGATCTTGTGCTGTGAAAGGGTCTGGAGGGGAAGGGGCTGAGAAGCAGCTGAGGGCACTTGGCTGGGGGAGACTCCTCAAGGTCTGCAGCTTCCTCCCAAGGGGCAGCTCTGATCTTCACTCTCTCAGATCAGGGACAGGACCCAGGGAATGGCTGGAGCTGTGCCAGGGGGGTTGAGATGGATCTCAGGGAAAGGTTCTTCCCCCAGAGTGTGGTTGGGCACTGACCAGGCTCCCCAGGGCAGTGGGCACAGCCCCAAGGCTGCCAGAGCTCCAGGAGCGTTTGGACAACACCCCGAGGGACAGGGTGTTGGGGTGCCCTATGCAGGGCCAGGAGTTGGACTGGATGGTCCTTGGGGGTCCCTTCCAACATAGGTTATTCCATGATTCTATGAAAGTCAGTCCTGACAATGTTGATCAGCCCTGGAGCCATGGTGAGGGCAGAGTGCGGAGCTCGGCAGCTCTTGTAGAGAACTGGGGTGAGGAAGGCCAAGAGCATCCCAGGGGGCAGGAGGCCCAAAATGGGGCACAGAAGACAGGAGGAGGAGGAAACTAGAGGGGTGGGGAGGCCCTGGCACAGGTTGTCCAGAGAAACTGTGGCTGCCCCATCTCTGCAAGTGTCCAAGGCCAGGCTGGACGGGGCTTGGAGCAACCTGGGATAGCGGAAGGTGTCCCTGCCCATGGCAGGAGGTGGAATGAAATGAACCTTAAGGTCCCTTCCAACCCAGTCATTTCATGATTCTATGAGACCTTTTAACACCCCCTTCTTCCTCTCTCAGCTACGCCCTGGCTCCTAAAGCAGAGCCAGAAGCAAAGAAAACCTGGGCAGAGTGGAACACCAGATCAGGTTTCCCTGGAGAACAATCCCTCCATGAGGATAACAGCTCTTCCAAGGCTGGAGTCTGGCTGAAACCACCCTCAAACACAACATAACATGTGAAACGACTGTTCCTCCTCTCCCTCCTTTTATCCTTGGGCAATGTCAGGGTGGAAAGAGCTTGGGAGGATGGAAGGGCTGGGAGCTGGGAGGGGACACGGCTCTGCTACAGCCAAGGAGAGACTCTTACATGGTTCCATTGGTATAAACAGCTTCTCCTCCTTCCACATACTGGACCTGGGCTGGATAAACGTGCTGCACAGACTGCACCTGAAACAGACATCAAAAAGTTATGGATTGCTTAGGAAGAGCAGGAGAAACTGCAGATTTCCTTATACTACTGTCAACCTTACCTTGACATTTAGGGTTTCTTTTTAAAAGAAAAAAATAAACCAACCAACCTCCCCCTCCAAAGGAATCCCAAAGGACATTTTTATTTTCAAAGGCTAAATAAAAATAGATAAATAAGTTGTTGCTCCATGAGCAGTGGAAACAACGGAGCTGAGTTTCCCCTGCACACGTGTCTGGGGCTGGTTCTGCGCTGACTAATAGGAGTGAGATCATGGTGCAGCCTTTCCTTCAGAGGGGACTGGCAGTGTGCAACTGCACCCCAGCCCCCTCTTTTTTGCTCTGGGAGGGATGTAGTTTCCCTCTGTCAAGTTTTTCTCCCCCCTGAAACTCAGCAACCAAATAAAAAATCGCTAAAAGAAAAAATCAGGAATCAGACTCAGTGTCCCCACAGAGCAGCACCACATATCCCTAGTTTCTTAGAAAACAAGGGCTGCAAAAGGCAAAGTTCAGATAAATAAAAACAATTGCACGGCTCTCTGGCACTGAACCTTTCTCTGGAGCCATGTGTAGTCAGCAAATTTATTTGTGTAATTAAAAAAAGTCCTGAACACTTCACCTCTAAAATATCTTCACCGAGTAGGATTGCTTTTAATTTAAATTTGATTTAATAAATGCTTTAAAATGGCAGTTGAAAGCATCCATCAAATCCTCAAATGTATGAATCCATCAAATTTCCAAATGTACGAATCCATCAGTCTAAGAAAGGAGGAGAGTGATCCCAGTTTTTTGATTGCCCACAACACTCTTTAATTAAGATTTTTCTAGCAGTGGCACAGTTTCAAACGTCATGTGGGATGTGGGGTCCCTGTGTGGTGTCCCACCCTAGATATATTTATTTATTACCTGTTGTGGAACCTGCTGGACTCTGGGAACAGATATTTGCTGCATCTGTGCTCCTTTCGGAGCAGAGCCCGTTGCTTGGACCAAAACTCTCTGGAAAAGAAGATACAGGAACAGACACTTACTTTCAGTCCATAACACAGGTGAGTCAGGTGTTCTCTTCCAAAGTTTCATGGACAACTGCTACACCAGCTGCAGTGGCACCTCTTACTGTCCCTGTGGTCTCCACCCTCCCAGGGTAACACCAGCCTGAACTTGGGCAAGGCTGGATCCACAATTTCTGACATGAATCATCTTTAAATCTCCACAAAATGACATAACAGCCAACAGCTGGGTGATGAGAGGAGCTCAAAGGAGGTTCAGTAGCAGCTAAACAAGAACCACTTCTCACACATCCACATTCTCCTCCTCAGGCTGCAAAGTTTCTTCTCTTACAGCTGCTAAACCTGCAACCTCTCCAACGTGCCACAGCCCTTTTGGTTTCTTCCAAAATCTCAGGTGATTCTGCATCTCCCTTCAGAGAGAGCTTTGTTCTGCCTTGTGATGGTCACTGTCCTCTGCCTCTGCTCTGTCACCTCCATCATCCCCCTGCTCAGTGTGTCACCCTGCACACTCAGTTTGAGGTTGTCACATATCTCAGGGTGCTCAACAAAACAAACAGGGGGATGTGGTAAGATGGAAAGAAATGATTCAGTGAGGCCCGTGGGAACAGAGCCAAGTGTCTGTATGGCCTTTTAAAGCTTCTCCAAGGAGATACGTCCTCTGTGGCTTGAGGTTTTAGAAATACCCAGGAGAACAAAGAGCTGCAAAACAATCCCACATGATTCCTAGAAGCCACTTTGACAATTACTGGCTGCCTTATACGTATATCTTCATGATTTTTAGCTCTCTGACACCCTCAAACATGCCTTTGTAACAACCAGAAATGCTATTCTAGCAGAATTACAAGAATATGATAATTTCCCAGATTTCCAGTCCCCAGCAAGTCTGGATACACTGGAGATCCTGCAGTACAAGCTTGCAGTAAGGACACTGTTGTCAGCCACCACTCTGTCCATTTTCTCTCCAAAAGAGGCTCTAAGCAGTGCAGGATCAGGACATCATAAGCTCTTTTTGAAGTCAGGCCTTGGCAGTGCCACTTACACCGAAGTCCCAGCAAGATCCATTCCTTTCTCCTACTTTTTACCCATTCTCTGGCACTGCTTGTATCAAAGGACACATCTGTGGCACAGCTGCCCAGCTCACTCCTTGTGTCCTTCCTCACTGCCTGTCTGGTTGCTCCTACTTCCTTCCCACCAAAATAACGGATCATCCCAACCTGTAAAATGAGACCATCCTGCTCAAACAGCCTCCGCTCACACTGGAAGGTGGACCAGTGATCAACCACCCCAAAGGTTTCAGCCTCACACCACTCATGCTGCCAGCAGTTCATTCCCAGTGGTTTCCTTGTCTTGCTGGTGAGAAGGGAAGGCTCTGGATGCTCCTCCTCTTCACCAGCCTTCCACAATCCTCTGGGTGTTCCTTAATCCACGGAGTTTCACTCAATGTGCCATGTCCCGGTGACATTTCATAATTTCACAATCCAAAGCCAATGGGTTTTCTGACCATGTTGTCACAGTCAAATTCCCACTAATGATCCCTGGGACACCTGACACTGTTGATCAGTGATACCCACATCATTGCAGTACAAACAAGGAATGTTCCCCAGGAGAAATGGAAGTTGGGAAGGCTGGGAGATGACAGCAAGGCCCCGAATCACTCGATGTGAACGTCCACGGCTCCCAGTGAATTGAATGTTCCTACTAATTCACAACTGTTAATTGTTCCTTTTCATGAGCATCCAATGGCAACCGCTTCTGCTCACTTGGGAGTTGGAGAAGGACGTAGCAAAGTTACACCCACCCATCCTCTCATCCCTCCAGCTTCCTGAGTCAGAAGCTTCTTTTGATAGTTCCCCAAAAGGCATAAAAAGGAACCAGTCTGACTTAACCCTTCCTGTTTTGCACTGGGTTGTTTCCATCCATCTGTTGAAGCCACCACTTGTCTCCTATTGGACCTCCCAAGTGCACCATATTCATGTATATGAATAATTAACCCTCCCTCCTCCATTTAAAATGTCAGGATCTGTCAACCAAAGGAAGAGACCATGGAATCATAGAATGGTTTGGGTTGGAAGGGACCTCAAAGATCATCCCATTCCACCCTCTGCCATGAGCAGGAAAACCTTCCTCTAGCCCAGGTTGCTCCAAGCTCTGTCCAACCTGGCCTTGGACACTTCCAGAGATGGGGCAGCCACAGCTGCTCTGGGCAACCTGTGCCAGGGCCTCCCCACCCTCACAGGGCAGAATTTCTTTCCAATCTCCCATCTATCCCTGCCCTCTGGCAGTGGGAAGCCATTCCCCCTTGTCTTGTCCCTCCATCCCTTGTCCCAAGTCCCTCTCCAGCTCTCCTGGAGCCCCTTTAGGCCCTGGAAGGGGCTCTAAGGTCTCCCTGAAGCCTTCCCCAGGTGAACACCCCAGCTCTCCCAGCCTGGTTCCATGGCAGAGGCGCTCCAGACCTTGGACCATCTCCATGGCCTCTCTGGACCCACTCCCACATCTTTCTTCTGCTGAGGGCCCCAGAGCTGGACACAGCAATACAGGTGGGGTCTCATGATGGCAGAGAGGAAGGGGAGAATCCCCTCCCTGACCTCTGGCCACTCCTCTGTGGATGCAAACATCTCTTTGGATGCAGGATGTGGCTCCTCCTCCCTCTCCCTGCATTAGCTCTCCCCTCACTCCTTCTCCATGACCTCAGTGCTTCGCTTGCAGCGATGCCTTTAAGGGCTGTTCCATCTTCTCCTGCTTTTATTGACACACCAAACAACAACAACAGGATATTAATCTGAAAAAAACACTGAGCTGGCATGAAAGTAACTTCCTTGGGCAGCTAAATTAAAACCTAACCCCCACATTTCAAAGCTTGCAGATTGATTGGTAGGGCTAAAACATATGAGGTATCGACAGCCTTTATCAACACAAACTCCAGCAACAGGTTTGCTCAATGAGCTGATTAAAAATCCTCTCTCCACCATAAAAATCCCTGGATTAAAATACATCAGCCAGCAAAACAGGGCCCTTCTCCATGGAAACAGCATTCCCAGCTGAGGATACCTTACCTGCTGAGAAGCTGGCACTGGCTGCACCACCGGAGCCTGGGCTGAGGCCGAAGGGTGAAGCGCCATGGAAGCTGCTGAGTCTGATCCACCCTCTGAACTCTGCATGCTCACTGCTGGGAGAGCACAGGGACATCAGGCAAGCAAGGAGAGCACAGCCCCACACCAGTGACTGCCCCAAGGGGCAAAATCCCAGTGGAAGATCCAGGAGAAGCACTGGGAAGGAAGGAAGGAAGGCAGCTGCCATCCTACACACAGGCCTCTCTTTAGGCTTGGAGCTAATTTTAATGCAGTATTATATTAAGAAAAAAAGAAAGTTGCACAATTGTTTCACAGAAAGGAGAGGGAAGGAACAGAAAATGCATTTCTATATATAACTGAAAAGTGGCACTGGAAAATTATTGTGTCACGGTGAGGATCACACAAGACCTGGGGGAGTAAGAGCTTATTTTAAAAATAATTTGTTCTCCCCCCATTTTATCACATTTAACTACTGCAAAAAACATTTTAATCCAATCTAAATCCGTGCCTGGAGCTTAGCAAAGGCTTTCTTTGGGAAGTGGGGTGGTCAGCTTGGGTTTATAATCACAATGAGCGATCAAACATGAAGAGCAGAAAAACAAGGATTCACCATCATTTTAAACCTCCAAAGAAACATCACCACTCTCCACCCTCACCCCCAAATCCCACCAGCCTCATAAGGTCCCAAAAAGCCACATCACCTCCCTCCACTCCCACAACACGACCCTACAGAGCTGGTGGTGCCCTTGGAATCTTCAAATCCCTGTGTCCTGGCACTGACCCACCTCACTCAGCCACCTTCAGAAGCATCCCAAGGGCCATGTGGGGATTCTCTGGGGATGGAGAGAGGGCAGGAGAGCAGGGCTGAGCCCCTCCATCCCCAGGGTCTCCTCTCTCCCTCACAGCACTGTCCCAGCCCGCTGTGTCCATCCCCTGCAGGACATGGGACATGTCACAGGGGACATAAAGGGATGTTGTGATGGGGCTTCCCAGGAGCACAAAATATTTCTTTTTGGGGAGGGGGAGCCTTTTTTCCTCAGCTTCTCATGAAAGTTCCTGTTTTAAAAACTGTTTTAGAAGGATTTCTGCTGTCACTTCAAAACCAAAAGATTAAAACCATCCGGATTTTGGGCAGTGTCATTTCTCCTTTCGTGGTCTTGCTGATGAGTGAAACGCAGCCTCCAAATAACGTTATGAAATCCTTTTTTTATTTCCATTCTCCATCCAATATTTAAGCTTTTCCCTCAACTTTCTGCAAGTTAAGAGGGCTTCTGAAAAAATGAGGTCACTGGCTCCTGATTATTTGTGTTAAGAAGAAATACAACGGGGATGTGAAGTTACAGAAGTTACCTGTTTATTGCTTCAGCCACTGAAAAAAAATGCCAAATATTGAGATTCTTCACAAAACAGGTTTTTAAGGTTTTTTCCAGCCAGTGCTGACCCCACACTCCCATTATCAAATCACAATTACTCTCCCAATTTCCCCAAAACCCACAGCTCCCAAGTAATTTTCTCTTTTCCCATCATCTTTCTTCCAGCCAGGAGAAAGAGGAGATACAGAACCCCCACAGTCACAGCTACCAGATTAATGGAACAAAGCAGAAACAAGGGAAATTTAATTAATATTTATCCCCACCCATGTCCCTCAAGAGTCCTGCACAGCCCCATCTCTGCAGCTCCACTATGCAAAGGTAGTAACTGCTTCTCCCATCACTGCCTCTGGTTTTTAGCCAAAACCTCTCCATGAGAGGGGGTCACTTTTAGCAAACATACTCCCCTAACTTTTCCAAGAGTGTTTATTGTCTGTTCTTTGTGACAAGGGCTCTGGTTTGTAGCTTTCCAGGGGCTTTTGAGTGGAAAAATAAAGCATGGTGAGGTTACAGAGGAAAGGTGGGTAAGCTGATAAAGATATTTTAATGATCTATTGAGAATGGCTCTGGCAGGGTCAGCTCTTGGCATTGCAGGTCTACAAAAGGTCTCCTTTTAAGTGTAGTTATAATAAGAAAAGACAAAAAGAGATGGAGAAGTTGGACTTGATGATCCTGCTGGGTCAGGATATTCCATGATTCCATGATTCTAAGACATGTTGTCTCCAAATTACCAACAACTCATCTTCACTGATCCATTTTGTCCTCTGCTTTCCCTCAGTGACCAAAAGGGAGCAGAGAGAGGTGGGCAGGGTGGAAGGTGAAATGTCTGCTTTCAAAACAAATCCTCAGTGTGATTTTCAGCTTTGTCCCCAAAGGCGGGCTCTGGTAGTGATGACAACCCTGCCTGACACAAGGACCTCGATGAAATCTGCAGCTGGCACTGCCAGACAAGGTAGAGAAATCCTGGATTGCCAAGGCACATAGGACTTGTTATTATTTTGTTTATCAGTGAAACATCCTGGATAAAGAATCATTTATTTCTCATTAAAGCCATCCTGTGCTTCCTGAGAATTGGAATCAGATCCACGTGTGCCATCTGCTAACACTAATTTGTGCTGATGAAAAGCTGACACATAGAATTTCTGTGCTCCAGAAACCATCCCAAGGTGCTACAAAGCTTTGCTGATGTCGTGGGAGCATGGCTACCAAGTGAGCCAAGGCTCCAGAGGGGGGATAAGGCATCAGCTTTCAATGAAAAGGGGAAATGGAGAATCCAAAGTCTTGCTCTTTCACTGAAACCCAGAATGGTTTGGGTTGGAAAGGACATAAGGCTCATCTCGTTCCATGCCCTGCCATGGGCAGGGACACCTTCCACTAGACCAGGTGTGTCTAATCCCCGTCCAACCTGGCCTTGGATACTTCCAGGGACGGGGTAGTTCCTCTCTCCAGGGTAGGGAGCACCCCTGGAGCTCCTTCATGAATGTGGGCTGCCCAAGCACGACCTCCTGCTCATGCAGCTCTTTGGCAGTTCTGCCACATCCCTAAAGAAAATGCCTAGGAAAGGACTCCCTGCTCTCCTTCCATCCCATTTTTCACCTCCCACAGGGGATGAAATTTTATAGTGTCCTTGATCATCCTCTCCTAGCAGAGACTCAGTGGCTCAAAAGTGAGACCTGCTTCCTAAAGATCTATGGTTTGCTCCTTCCCCTTAGATCTGGTCTGAGAATAGAAGTTCATCCCAGCTAGTTGCTTCCCACTCCTGGCTGGGGTGAATACTGTAGTTCTCCCACAGAAGTGACCAACAGAAGCCATCAAAAGGTGTCTCCTGGCCTCTGACAGCCTGTGACAACCTGTGACAGCCTGACAGCTTGGCAGCCCCAGGACCGGGGAGTTTGCACAAAATGAGGAGCTAATTAATAGTCAACAAAGCTGCAGGTGGGTCACAGAGAGGATCAGCAGCATCCACAGTTGACTTTCTCAGCTCCAGGGTTCCTTTGGGGGTTAAGAGGAGCCAAAAAAGTTAGTTATTGTGCCAGAGGAATGAGCAGACAGGACCTGACCATGCATAAGGAATAAAATCATTGTGAGAATCAGAATGGTTTGGGTTGGAAGGGACCTGAAAGACCAATTAGTTCCAAGCCCCTGCCATGGACAGGGACACCTTCCACTAGCCCAGGTTGCTCCAAGCTCCATCCAGCCTGGCCTTGGACACTTGCAGGGATGGGGCAGCCACAGCTTCTCTGGGCAACCTGTGCCAGGGCCTCCCCACCCTCACAGACAAGAATTTGTTCCTAATTTCTAATCTAAATCCACCTTCCTTCAACTTAAAGCCATTCCTCCTTGTCCTGTCATTGCATAGCCTTGTAAAAAGTCCCTCCCCAGCCTTGTAGGCCCCCTTTGGACACTGAAAGGCTGCTATAAGGTCTCCTTACAGAGCCTGACTCAACACATTAGCGTTTCAGGGAGAGTTTCAAACTCTGGTTGCTCAACAGGGCAGGTGATGTCACGTGCAGCATCACTCTGGAAGGCATTGCAGACATCTCAATTCCAGGTTGCATCATCACTGAATGAATCAGGCAGATAACAAGGCTGCTGCCTCTGGAAACCTTCTGTTTACACACAGCTATCTCGGTATCCAGGCAAACAGAGAGGACAGGAAAGGAAATTCTGAAAAAAACCCTAATAACTTCTGGGTGCTATTTCTGGTCCTGCCACCAGCTCGCTCCGTGACCTTGAGTAGGATGTTTCCCCTTCCCCGTGCTTTGATTTTCCCACTCCTAAAAAAGCCACAGTAAAAAAGCCTTACCCAAGGCAAGGTATTTTTCAAGCACTGGTCTCCCAGGGCTGTCAAAGCCCAAATGCCTTTCAGGAAGACAAGTAGTACCAGTACAAGCCTTGAGGGCTTATAAAAAACTTGGGTTGTCACCGTTTCATTCATAAGACACTGTTGCCTCCACGTAAAATGGTCCTGCCTTTGTTAATCTCTCCTGCCTAAAGCGGCTCCAAAATGCTGGGAAAACAGAGATAAGAGGAGCATCTCAAAATATCTTCTACACTCAAATTTGCAGAGAGAGGGGGAAGAAAAGGAGGGGGCAGCAGGAGGATCTCACAGGGTGACTCCAGCTGAGAAGGGGATGGAGCAGCATCCTCTGTTCCAGGTCCCCAAAAGAGTTTGGAGAAGGAGAGGGGTGATGCCAGACCCCCACAATGGGAAAGGTGTCCCTGGGTGCTCCCTCAGTGCTGCAGCTTCCAGGCTCTGAAATCCAGGAGATGTGGAGGAACCACAAGTACTTTTCCACAGAATGTTTTAATATAAAATCTTGGCTCCTGAACACTCAAACAAAAATGTTTGGGAACTGAACATGGAGACCTCCTGCTGGTGATCTGAGCCAGAGCAGGGTGCCTGCCCAGGGAAATATGTGGTTTATTTGTCTTTGGTGCTCTAGTCCTGACTGTGTGGGACATGTAGTACCAGAACTCATCCATCCCAGGGCTTTCCATGACTCCAAATAAAAAGGGATTTAAGTCCCTGTCTTCCTCAGGCCCAGGGTCGCTTCTGCTGTAATTGTGCCCAAACTACTTCAGAAGAAAAAGTCACTGTTCAATTTATTTTTGATTTTTAAGATCTGGTCACATAAATCAGGGATGGGACTGACAGTCATGGCTCTCACAGGGTATTTAGGTCTTGTATTTATATGTCTTTAAGTCCTGAAGGTGTAAATGTA